CTACTAACAGAGTGATGTGACTGGCCCAGCCTAAATTTGTTTGGTCCAATGGTAGAGCTGCTGAGGCTAGACCAACCTGCAGAGGGTATTCTGCTACGGTTGGTCTCGATTTCTGGGCATGGAATGGATGGAAATGAGGACAGAAAGGGAAAAAAAGCTCAGTTCCGTCTATCTGGATCATTTTTAGGGTTGGCTGATTGGTTCTTTCAGTTCTGCTCTGGGTTAATTAATACAAGTCTAAATTACTTTCCAGAGCTGATCATTTCCAGTTTGAGTTCAGCAGTGGACTGGTTGGATGATCATCTGCTGTGGCATTTTTTGTGTTCATACGCAAGTCATGTGTGCACCATCGTAAACCTCGTCTCTGAATATGGATGTGAGTGCAGTCTTACACCAAAAAAGATGTTTTATCAATTATTCGGAACAAGAAGGAATAATATGAACACCTGCTAATGCAAATACATGGGAGCTTGGGAATGTGACTGGAAAATAAAAAAAAGCAGAAAGTGGATTGAAAAAGTTTTGTCTGTGTTATAAGTTGGGCAGAGCAGCTCAGTGTGTGTGTGTGTGTGTGTGCGTGTGTGCGTGTGTGTGTGTGTGTGTGTGTGTGTGTGGTCAGCGATCTCAGGGTGGAGTTCCTCCACTCAGCTACCAAAGTAACTAATCACAGCGAGCAGCTGCATCCCTCACTGTACAAATCCTCAATACCTGGCAAACTCTTACTGTATACCAGCATCCACGCACCGCCACTCTCCCTTTACTAACGGCAAGCTGCAGCCGACTGATGTTTAAAGCGCCGGGTTTAGCGTGTAGGCCTGAGATAAGCCATGCTAAGCTGTGAAAACACAGATTACATTTCTCTGGCTTATTACAGACACTGCGCCTCTGCCTCCCAGCCACATCGTAATTGTGACCCAAAAACCGCTGCCCCCGCTTTGCTGTGAGATATAGCTGGATGGAGGACCCCCCCCCCCCCCACACACACACACACACACACACACACACCTCTTTGACAGGCGTGCTAATTCCCGTCTGCATTCCCTCATATGTTTTCTTCACGCCGGCCTCCTCCAGTGATAAGCTGCAGCCGAGTTCCTTTCAAGTGCCTTCCTTGTTGAATCAAATCTGGGCCAACTAATCAACTGCTGTCACTCTAGTGTCTTATTCATACTCTCTAAAACTCTGTCAAAATTACCAGATGGAATAAAAACATCCAAAATACCTGCTAAATTACAGAAATGACGGCTGAGTGAGTAATCACCCCTAAGTCAGTACAAGCTCTCTCTGAGCATCTCAGAGCCAACTTTAAAACAATAATGTTGCTTTAAAAGGATACATTTGATATTCTCATCAGTAAAATTGCCTCTAAATGAGGTGTAATTTTGATATTTGTGCTTAATGTAGCATAAATTGAGATATCCCAACTGAAAACCGGCTTTCACTTTCTTGGATTGCCAAAGCCTAACAGGCATACATTAAACCCTTGTTTCTGGCAGGCTATTAAAGTGCCTCCATCTGCAAATACTTAGCCCATTTTCTCCCCTCTGGCTCAATCAGAGATAAAGACCATTGTGTTCCAAGTCCAGCAGAAAGACAAAATATTTTAAACCTCACAGAAAACAATTAAAGCGTAGTAATTGCACCACTGGCCAAGTCCTGAGGATCGGGAGAAGGAGGAAAGAGAGCAAATGTGAACGATGTTTGTCTGGTGGAGTATTGTCTTGCTCCGTTCACAATCTGACGGAGCAAGGATGTTTATCTGTAAGGGTGTGATGTAATGTTTGGATTACTAACTCTGCATGTGAGTGCTAAAGCTTCTCAGACTGTGGGATTTCTCATCATAAAGACCTCTCATCTGTCCCGGTGAAACCCTTTCTCCAGAGAAAACATCTTTCTAATCTGCCTTTCATATATATATATATATATATATATATATATATATATATGTGTGTGTGTGTGTGAGTGTGTGTGTGTGTGTATCCGTGACACTCGTCCTGAACTGAGCAGCTCCAGAGTCCTGCTGCTTTGGGTGTGTTGCAGACTGCAGACATGACCATGGGGCTTATTTTGGGTGGCCCAGTAAATTGAACACAGTGCATTAAATGAGTGGATTGTCCATATTTTCCACGGGCAGGGCAAAACTAGAGGGGGGGTAAGCTGTGATGGAAGCGAAGGCGTGCTATTTCTCAACATGAGGTCTTTAAAGATGTACACACACACACACCCCGAGGGAACTGAGATCCATGAGATCAGAAGAGTTCTTTTTAAAAGTCTGAGTCAGACAACGGCTTTTGAAAACATAAATCAGGTTATACTGATGAGACTTTTACAGCAGCGGACCCTAAATTCAACCAAGCGCTCATCATCGTCTGGAAACCTACAGAAAAGATGTGTGGAGATTTGCAGAAGAAGCCAAACAGATATTAAAACCCTGAAATTGAAAGGTGCACCCGCTGAACTATGAGGGCAGCGTGAGCTTCGCTTGGCAACACTACGGTAACAGGTTTAGGGTCTGTTAGGTCTACAGCTTTATCAGTGAGGCAACAAGCTGTGATTCCTAGCAGACATCGGTGGTGGGGTATCGGGTTGAGTACTGGCGAGGGGTTCTGCTCACATGCATGGGGGCAGAACAAAGTGCTGGAGGCCGTCGATAGCATCCACAGTGCTGAGGAGTAAAACCTCCTGAGAATGGGACCTGTCACTCCCACTCAGCAGCGCCTGTGATCTGAACCACCCGGAACGGCGCTCAGATAAGTGGCTGATCCCAGTACCCCCCCTCCCCCTGCTGTCTCTACAGCCCCACCCCCACTGCCATGACAACCGGAGGGGAATCTCCTCCGGCAACAACTTAATAGGATAATTTCCTCCCAGGATCACTATGTGTATTACTCCTTTTGTAAAGTAAGGTCTATGCTGTCTGACTGCAAGTGTTTTGTTTTGTTTTTCACTTTGAGACCGAGTTGGTTTGGATCCAGCGTGAATTTTCAGGCAGTTTTGGTGCGTGCAAGTACAAGCCAGCAGGAAGCCGCTCTGCAGCAAACCACAGAGCAGTTGGACGGGTCTTCGTACGCGGCAGCGTAAAAGAAATACACAGCCTCTCATTTCAGCACCACAAAAAGGTGACCACTTTAACCACTGTAAACATTTATTGTCCTTTGTGTTACATAGCCTGACAATTTATGTTACGCCCATTCAAGCTCCGGGTCACAACATAAACAGGTGCCCCGCCCTCCTCCAGTCTGCAGACACTAGTGCCAGGGAAAGTCATTATACTCTGTGCGTGCGTGCGTGCGTGCGTGTGTGCGTGTGTGTGTGTGTGTGTGTGTGTCCTGCTAGCATGGAACTGAGAAGATGAAGAACTGGTTCCAGTATGGTCATAAAACTGAAAACCACAGAAGAAAATAAACCCTTATGTGGTACATTTACTTTTGGTATGAAGGCATTACAGCTGATTAATGGAGTGGAGGTACCTGACTCACCCTGTAGAGGTTTAAGGATTGTATTTCATAACTTAATTTGGGACACAGAAGCCACCTTATATAAGCTTAATGGAGATTGCTTCTGTTCTAAAGTCTAACTCATGGAACGCACAAGCGAGAAAACTCAACAGCAAATGAGATGGAAAACTGTGGAGTTATTTCTAAAAGGCACACTTGGTAGTTTTAGCTTGCTGTTAGCACCCCCTAGGGTCCATTATTAATTCAATGTTGTAAAAAACGAAACTGAAACTCTCTCCTTCACCTTAGTCTAACTGCTAAAACGTCTCCTCAGCCTTCATCGGTGTCTACTGGAGCAGTTCATCACTACATCAAACAAGTCAGCTGATCTGAAACATGCAGGGAATGCAATGGACACAGACTCCAGTGCTAGCGCGTCAGCTCCACTCCAAGTCCAACAGGGACTGGTCCGGACACTCTGATGTTGCAAGTGCAATATTGTTCCCCAGGAGGTGCTGGGGTCTAAGTGACTTTTCATTTTACCATGTAAAGAGTTGTTTTAGCCCAAACTGGTTCAAGAAAGTGATTTAAAAATATGAATATGTTGCACAGTATGCCTTTAAGCCGTATTTACACTATGGTCAGCTTGGCCTGGGCCGGTTGGTGACAGCCCCCTCCCTCGCGGGCTGGTTGAATAGGACATGGGCGGCTTCCATTAAAGTGGCACAGAGGGGTCTGTGGTGTCATTTGTAAGCACCGCTGTACATAAAAGCAGCACGGTTAGCTGAGACAAGTAGGATAAGGTGTTTAAAAACAATGGAGGATGTTGAGGTACTTTTATACTTGGTACTCATACTATGGTTCTTTTTGAGGAACACATTCCATGCAGGAAATAAACGAACATGCTTTGTTGCTGGCTGTTTATTTGGGTTTGGTCGCGTGTCTTTCTGTGACATCATTTCACACACATAGCACTAGGCCAATCACATACATAGGTAGGCGTGAGAATGACATAACTTCAGTCAGCCAGGAGGACATACTATTGCTTTCTTTTATGTTAAATAGTTTTATCGTCGATACGAAATGTGTTTATGAAGTTCTTTGCACTAAATCACTCTCACATTAAGCAATTCTCTGTCATTTTCAGAACCTTCCAGAATGAGCCGTTTCAGCGCTTTGTCTCTTTAAGAAAACAAGCTGGAGCTGGGCACCCTCACCCATCACCTGCTCAGGCTACTATAAGCTAAAAAGTTCCAAAATGCCTGAGGGGCTCAGTGTAGAGTCGCTGCTCCTCCAGCAGTGGCTCTCTCGAGGAAATTCTGTACTACCTTTTCCACTAGTGACATCACAAACAGGGAGATTTTGAAACTGCTTATTTCTTTCTTAAATCCAAACACTGACAGAAAACAGATGGACAGATTCTTTTTCATGTTCCGTGTGTTTGTAGGGGCAGTAGAGACCCACACGGCAGCAAAAAAGGACGTAAACGGTGAGTTTTGCATAAAAGCTCCACTTTAGATGAGTGTGTTTCAGTCGGAAAACTCTCCGTCTGTCCTGACTCACCTTCCTCACAAGCAGTGCCGCTGAATCCTGGACAGCATTTCCACTCCATGGAGGTCACAGTGCGGTACACCACTTTGTACGAAGGTCTGACCACTGTCTTGTAGCTAAAAACAAAGTCACAACCATCACATTTAACAACAAGCACCTGTGCAAAGAGCGTGGTTGTCATGACTGATTAATTTGTTTATTTTCAGAACCACAATAATGGTTTTAAAATGCAAACAGCAACATAACTTCTGCAGCAGATCTGTGTCTTGGGTGTATTTTTCTTTTTAGACAGCGTGTCTCTTTGACCTCTCACCTGCCTCCCGAGCATCCCTGCGGCCAACGGCACGTCTGATAGACCCGCTGGAGGATGGTCCCGTTCTGCACCTGGCAGGTCACGGTCTTCGTTACTGTATGAGGACACCAGTTCCTGAACACAGGGAAGGGTGAGGGATAGTCAGAGATGCAGTGCAACGTTTCCTCTTGAAACACGCTCACAAAAGCTAATTAGCCATGCAGCCGCATTCAGCGTGCTCCGTTCGGTTTTCCATCCCCCACCCTTTTGTTTTGAGACTTCCTCGTGTTGTTTACATGGTTTTAATCAGCTACTAGATTCTCACTGGTTGTAACTGCACCGTGGTTTGTTCTCTATCTGTACACATCCGTTCGCATTCAGCTCTCAGAGGAGGTGGAGTTTCTCAAAAGGGAGTAAAAAGGACTCCAAGGATTGAGACTTTTCAACACGGGTGACTGCTGGGTCACGAGTTCACTCCCTCCACAGAGAGGCATCTCAGGACATTATCGGGACTCAGAGAAGCTGAGAAACTTCTCAGTGAAGGAAAAATCATGATGTGAAGTTCTGACAATGAGAATGTGATTATTTATTTATTTTTCAGCTGCAAAGCGTGTTTTTTTTTTACACAATACCTCGTGAAAACTCTAAAAGCTGTCAAGTTATATAAAGGGTTTATAAGCATTCGGCTATCAGAGGTCTGAGAGCTAATTGGTTTAGTTTAATCCTTACTGAGAAACGTTTCATGCATTTCTCTGTGGCATCGCAGGAGAGATGTTTCTGAGGAAAAATGATCATTGAAGAAAATTTTCATCCTTTTCCAGCAATCGTGGCTTTAATTTGTGGAAAACTCAATGAGTCTGCCGATGATGACATGCTCATGTTACACCATCAACAACAACATGGACAAATACGGTTATTGCCCTCATAAAGTTATTAGAAAAACATGGAAACAATTACTCTGTTCTGTTTTCACACCGTCTATGGATTCTTAGACAGGAGCTCTTGAAACCACAGAGCAGACTGTGCTGCCCACAGCATAACATCCACTCTGTGTGTTCGGCTGCCAGCACGCTTGCAAGAAAAGTGGGCTGGACCCGCCAAAGTCTGTTTGTCAATGTGTGAGCCCATATGTTTGTGTGCATCAGACAGTTTACAGTAAAATAAAAAAAAACACCAAAGGCAGAGGATGTGAAGCAGCTTCCTTTACAAACTCCACATGCGGTGGTGACCGCACACACAGCCGAGAACCCGCCAGAAGATTAACATTTGTGTTCTGCCGCAGAGGTTTGCTTTTTGACATGATGAGTTTATTATCTCACCAGTTATTAAGGGATTCTTCTGTTCAAGAAACCTGATTTAACCCACGGGACTCGTTTTTATGTATCTGGATCAAATGTCTCTCTTCCAGGTTAATTTGGGCTGTCTTAATCTGGATAACTGGTATTCTACATAGATTTAAAGAAGACACATTATGGCTTTTTCTTAAGCTGTATTAGTTAAATGGTCTATAAAACATGTTCATGAAGTTCTTCACTCTAAATCCCTCTCACATAAAGCAATTTCACCTGTTATGATCTCGACAGTTTCAGCAGCTTCAAGAATGAGCCGATTCAGGGCTCTGTCACTTTAAGAATACAAGCTGGAATTGGCAACATCTACCAATCACCCACTCAGGCTGCTATAAGCTGAGAAGCTCAAATATCTGGGAGGGGATCAGAGTAGAGCCGCTCCTCCTCCACCAGTAGCTCTCTTTTGCACAAGAGAAGGTGGTTATGTTCTATTTTCCCCATCTGTGACATCACAATCAGGGACTTTTGAAACTGCTTGTTTTAGGCACACTATTCCTAAAACCAAACACTGACAGAAAACAAATACTTTTTTTTTACATATGTAGTGTTTATAGAGGCAGTAGAGACCCACATGGCAGCACAAAAGATGCAAAATGTGAGTTTTGCAGAATATGTACCCTTTAATAACAACTAGGACAAAAAGGACAAAACTTTTTGCGGCGACTGTTAAAAAGAAGGACAAACTTAATATTTTTCAATATTTTAAAGAAATTTGCAAGCTTAAAGAAAAAAAGCAGTTTTTCTCGAGTTTTTCTAAGGTTTTTGTGCAACTTTGGCTCTTTTTCACTCATTTAACTGATTTGTTTTGGGCCTTGTGCCCAACTAATTTCAAAGGAATGCGACTTTATTGTTGCTTGGCACATGTAACTTAGCAAAGAACCAGTGTAACAGATCTCTTTACAATCATGTCAAAAACGTTGATGGTGACCATCTCCTTAGTTAGATCCATGAAAGACCCTAAAGAAAATCCAGTTTGACAGATAAAATAGTATTTTAGCACAATGTTATTTCCAAACTATTGGCTAATTTAGACGATTTTTTTTTATTTGGCTTTTTTGGAAGTAAAACATGAAGAAATGGGGATGACTTGAGACTTGTGTGCAGAAATGTGTGTGTTTTTTTCCCTGCTTTAATTGCTGGTGGAAAAATTATGTGATTTTTAAGAAGCGGAAGTCAGGTGGCGTTGGGAGGGGGAGGACAGCATCCCGACTCCTTCCTTCCACTTATCCGCCAGAGTCCACAGATAAACAACTGAGTTTCCCAGGCTGAGACGAGGTCTCACCTGGGAACAGCCAAGACCGTCACCAGGGGGTAGGTGGGAGGAAGAGGGGGAGGGTTTTATGATCTACTCTGTTCTGTTCACATGTGCAAAGCGGAAATGCCAACTGTGGTTGCTCCACTTAAGAAAAAGAAGAAGAAAAGATATTTTCTATAGCGCCTCTCAAGATAAAAATCACGAGGCGCTTCACAAAAACAAAAAATGTAAAAACATAAAAAATAATTTAGAAAATGATTAAAAATATATTTTAAATGAGCAAAAAATCGACAATTGTGATTAAAAATGTAAAGAAAGAGAGAGAGTGAATAGGAAAGAGGGAAATCAGTGGATCCTGAGGAAGGTGGAATAGGTGGGGAGAGCAGAATAAAGAGAGAGTGGTGATGAAGGTCATACAAAAGCCAGCTTGAACAAGTGAGTCTTCAGCTGCTTTTTAAAGGAGACCACTGAGTCCACTGATCTCAGGCTCAGGGGGAGAGAGTTCCAGAGTCTGCAAAGGCTCAGTCAGGTCCAGCAGGACCAGAACAGAACAGTCCCCTGCATCACTGTGAGTCAGAGTTAGAGACCCTAAGAAGAGCTGTTTCAGTAGAATGAGCTCTACGAAAACCTGACTGGAAGCAATCATAGATGTTATGTTCATCAAGAGCAGCTGTGAGTTGTTTAGCCACAACCTTTTCCAAGATCTTGGAGATGAACGGAAGTTTAGAGATGAGTCTCAAGCTGCTATGGAGAGAGGGGTCGAGACTCGGTTTTTTAAGAAGCGGGTGGATTACAGCGTTCTTAAAGTAAGCAGGGACCTGACCAGAGACCAGAGAAGCATTAATTATAGAGAGCACGCTGGGACTGATGGACTGAAAAGCACTTTCAATCAAAGATGAGGGTAAGATGTCGAGGGGGCGTGCAGAGGTCTTCATAGGGTTAACTAGTTTGGTTAACTCAGGCAAAGAAACAGGAGCAAAGCTATCTAGGATGACAGATCAGGTTGGAGCCGGGAGAGGCAGAGATAAGGCTGAAGGAGAGATGCTAGATCTAACCTTATTGACTTTGTCCACAAAGAAAGACAGAAAGATCTCACAGTCTGCAACAGAGTGGATGGAGGCTGTAGGAGAGGCAGGAGAGGCGATGCTGCTGATGGTGTTAAACAGCACCGGGTTCCCTTTGCTCTGGGACACCAGGTTGGAGAACCCTTGCATCTCTGACTGCAGAGTTAAAGGATGTCAGAAGATCCTTTAGGTGCAGCAGATAAACATGGAGATGGGTTTTCTTACACAAGCGCTCAATTTTTCTGCATTGGCGCTTCAGGCTGCGAAGGCTGTCATTAAACCAGGGAGTATAGCAAGTCAATAGTTAGAGCAGGCTTGCAGATATTGCAGCTAAAAGCAGTTATTTTGTCTTCTCTTATGACACGCTGCAGAAAACTCACATCCACAGAGCACAAATCCTACGTGCACGTAGTCTTTCACTTTTCATATTCGCAGTCAACACCTTACTTTTTGCTGGAGGCACCCATGTGCTGCGAAGTGTGAAACCCACCAGCGCCGTGCTGTTTCTCTGGCAAAACACCAGACGAGTCCTCAGTGAGTATCAGGTCTCAAAGCACACATGGCACACTCTGAATGCTGGGCCCAAGCTAAATAAATCATCAACCATCCCAGTCACATGTATCCACAGCCAACAGTTAAGAGAGAAATCCCACAAAACGCACAGCTTTGTCCCATCTGTTCCGCAGTGCTGCTGACGCCAGGAGAGGACAATCAGAGAGAAACAAAAGAGAGCTGAGGTTGATAGATAGGTTGAGGCATTTTTGGCATCAAGATATTTATGGATGAAAAATCTGGGAGAAACCACCAATAGATGTGCTGAGGATGTCTCAACTCAAATTCAAATCTGGGCAAGAAGTCTCTTCATATCCAGTCATGGGAGGAGGCCCAAACACTCAAAGATGTGTGACACTCTCCAAGGATACAAATCTAAGGGAATCGTGTCTAGATTTGAGAACAAAAGACATATACTGATGTGGGGAACGACCGGACAGAGGAAAGGACAGGTCGTTTTATCATAACGGGCATAAAAGTCTGATGGGAAAAGGGAAATGAGAGAAAGACCATTATGAGGCTGCATTGGTCTCATGGGAGGGACGGGAGGTGGAAGATGAATGTGGTGCAACAACAAATGACAGAGAGACAAATAGAGAAGCAGTCAAGGTGAAATCAATGAAGAGAAAAGGAAACACTTCGAGTATTTGAATCCACCATAAATAAAAATTAAAAAGTGTTGGTGTTGAATATATCAAAGCTTGAGGCCGTTTCTTTGGGTAGAAGTCCATCAAAGCACCACAAAGTCAGAGTTAAGTGTCTCTTCAGAAAGACACAAAGGAAAATCATTTGTCAGCTCTGGACACCTGTGAGCTTTCAGCCTGCATGGAACGGGTCTGTGGCTCCGTAAGTGTTAAAGGATGAAAGTTAGAAAAAGAAAGAAAATCCGCCAACGGAAGAATTCCTATAAGCTGATCAGCCCTAATAATAAAGCCACTGAGTGTACTGGTCCCAGTCATGCTGCTGAAACAGCTCCCATTGTGTGTAATATTAAAAACGTAGCCAGGATATATATGTATGTATGTATGTATATATATATATATATATATATATATATATATATATATATATATATATAGTGGTGAGGACTGAGTCAAAGAGAGGATGAGGAGGGAGTGTTTGAAGTTATTCTGGAAAGTTCGGGGTTAAATCCAGGGTCACTCTGGAATCTCAGTCACTTCCTCCTGGAGCTGAAGATGGATCAGGACTAGAGCCATGGGGTTCAGGGTGTTCTACAGACCATGACATGTCCTCAGAAGGGCAGCACCTCCAACTAGACGTTGGTACTGAGCCTGTGGTTAAGAAGGACGAGGGTGACTGGACTCTTTATCAAGTCAGAAAAATCACCCAAGACCTGTTAATCCACTTTGATTAGTCTCATCTAATGTGTGATGTGTGAGGGCTTTGTCTGTGAAGATCCTTCTCCTTTCCCAGTTTGCAGACACAGAAATCCCACCTGGACTCCACCGACTAGGTGTTCTGGTTAATAAACGGCAAGCCGCCAGCATTACCACAGTTGGGAAATGTTTGCAAACCATAAACCGCTGCTTGTTGCACTGATCAGACCAGCCAGGGTCCTATACATCACTTTAAACCCTCTGACCTCTCAGAGAGAAGCAGCTGATTCAAACCATCAGCTATTCCAACTCCCATTCCAACAGACACTTACATGTTTCCCTCAAACAAGCACACATGCTGTGGAGCCCCAGCTGCTGGTGTTTATAAAACTTGTCCACAAACATCTGGATGTGAAGGAGGTGAGCTGATGGAGGCTGGAGGGGGTAACACGAAGCTCCCCGGACACAACTCTAACTCTGGCCTCCTTCAGACACCCACACCTGATCTGTCAGCATAAATATTTGTGGAAAAGGAAAAAAAAAATAATAATAAAAGTTGTCTCATTATGATGACGCTTCACAGCCGACCTGGCTTGACCTCTAAATTCCTACAGAAACTTTCCTAATCCCATGTTCTAGTCACTAACACTTCCAAGTCCTCTGTGGTCAAATCTGAAGACATGGGAACAGTCACGTTGCTCTCATCCGGGACAGAGGAGGTGCTCCACATTGGGACAACAATGGGGATGGGAGAATCCCTGCTTTAAGCACAGGAAAAGGGAAACCAGCTGTCAGGAAGACAATGGAGCTGGTGGATGGATGGAGATGGGAGCTGCTCTGTCATGCGCTTAATAAAAACACACGTGGTCCCTTTGTGCGCACTGACATGTTGAACTAAAGTTAAAGCCTCACCTTTTGTGGTAGACTGAGGTGTGAGTGCCTGCTGTCTGCGACCCGACTGAATAACTTTTATAGAGTCCAGTCTTCCACGTCCCGGTAACGAGCGAGGCGAGCCAGAGCATCAGCACCGTCTGAAGCAAAGTTTTCCCGCAGAACGCGGACACGCTCGCTTCACGGTGCGATCCCATTTCTGTGCGTTAAATAACAAAATAAAACAAACAAGGAAAGCAGTTAAAAAAAACACGAGGAGGGTTAAAAATTAGTCCGGCTGGGGGCGCGAGTCCAGCTCGGTGAGGAGATGCGTCAAAACGCACCGGAGAAGACGCGCATCCTATTCACTTCCACGCAAAAATAAATCAATCAATCAATACATTTCTGAAACGGGTGGCTGTGAAATCCAGTTGGTGGAGCAGAAAAAAATGTTCTTTTCGTTTGCCTCTGCCGTGAAGATCCGACCCTGTCCGCCCCCTCTCTCCGTGTGAGAGCTCGGAGTCGGTCTAACTCCGTCTGTCTGAGCTGAGCTCACATCCAGCAGCGGGCATCAAGCAGTTTTATAGTCTTCTCAGCCCGCTGGAGCTCCTACCCTGCCCCGTCACGACTAGACCACTCTCAGAGCACAATGCAATCAAGGTGGCGGCGCGTTTACGCACGGTGCAAAGAACGCGCTTTATGATCAAAGACCCGTTTTCTTTGTCCATCTGCTGCAAAAGGATGCAGAACCAAGTTTATTCTGCAGACTGGAGCTGATTAGACCCACCTGCTTACATGTGAGCTTAGGGGACTGGACCCCTGTTAGAAGTTTAGCATGAAATCTAGAATAAATACTAATGCCAAGGAAATTCCAGAGTTGATCTGAGTGGATTCATCCCCTGAAAATAATGCTAATTCCAAACAGTTTATTGTTAATTGTGAGAAGTTGTTTCCATTATAGGAGTTTCTCTTTTATATGAAGTTCATTCAATCTTCTCTTCCTATGCTCCTACAAAGGAACATGCTTCTGGTTGGTCATAAACATGCGCTAATCTTCAGTCTTTATGATAGCTGCACCAGTTAGAGCTGAGAATGGGCCTGTCTGAACTTTGCCCTCTGCTTTTCAAACAGGACCCTTTTAGACTACATGATATGGTAATGAGATGCTTTCTTGTGATCTTGGGTAGGGGCGTTTAAGGATTGTTAAGAACTCAAAAGAAAGTCTAGTTTCATTTTAGACCAGAATTTAGTCATGATCACAGCTTCTCCCTCACAAGAGGGGGATTTTACTTAAATAACAGAGACTTTCCCTTCTGTGTCTGTGAGCTCATGGCTCCTGACCCTTTGGGAATGTGTGATTCTTAGAGGAAATGTCACCTGCTTTGGCACGCTGACATCAGCAGAGATGGCCTGAATCTGTTTGTTAGATGCTAAATTTAAAACACAAACTATAAGCTAAAACATAGATGGTTACAGAAGAATTGTTGCTGCATTCTTTACGAAGTGCTGTGTTTTATTACAAAACACCAAAACAACAAAGTTAAGGAGCAAAGTACTGATCTATGCTACCATCTAGTGATAAAACAATGAACACTCAGTGTTCTAAGTTCACTTATAAACAAAATATTTTAATTGTATTATAAATGTTTGAATAATGTCATTTGGTTAGCAAATAAAAAATAATTCAGAGCTTACTGATGATAATTAACAGGCACAAACATTGTGTGAGAGGGGCTCAGAGCGGCCGCTGCTCCTCCAGCGATAATTTCCCCATTTGTGATGTCACAAACGGGACTTTCCTGAAACAGTTTTTGAACTATGTCCCCTTAAATGTAACAAATCACTCTCATCAGCTTTGATCAGCATCAATTTTTGTTAATTTTGCCAAATGGTACCTCCCTGAGGTTGAAGGTCCTATTCAGTCTGGTAATGAAGACCCAACACCTCGGGTGTGTTTGGCTGTTGGATATTTTAGATCTCACCTAAGACACAAAACAGATGTCAAAGCCATCAGCTGTTTGTCCACCATACACCACCTGGAAAAACATTATGCATTCAAATCGAAGCCTTTTAAGATGATCAAATGTTGAATTAAACACAGTTTTGTCTAATCTCCTCAATAAGACATTTGAGGGTTTCCCATCGCGATCTCCTTGGTAGTAACTATTAGATATTAATACCCACCTGGTAAACCCAAATATTTCTTTAACTACTTTTGCATTAAATGTCTTTGTTATTGGACCATTCAAAGTTAAAATCCTGCTTCACTTACAAAGAAGTCTGCCTCATTGCAGTCACGGCGCACATTCCAGCCCATCTTTCCGTACTTGTGCCTTCCCTGTACCGCAGAATGGAAGAAAGCCAGCAGACCAGGCTTCTGATGCAGGGTGTGGGCGTGCATTCAAATCCTCAGGTGATGTTTTAGAGTATCAGGTGTTCAAGTTCAGTTTGAGACCACCTGAAGCTCTGTCACCTGTACACCATGAAAAAGATCACGTAAGTATTATGAACATTTACACTTCATACGTATGAACGAGAAATCAAAAGAACATGTGTTTCACCTTTAGAGACTTGTGCAGAATGCCAGTGGGGGGAATGGATGGGATGTGATCCACGGGCGAAAGTTGGCGTCAGGCTTGGTGATTCTATTCACCGCTCTTTTCAGTTCCTTCAGCCACTTCTTTTAGTTTGTAGGACTACTTAAAAATGTCCTAGGGCCTCATTTATCAAGTTTGCTTACGCACAAAACGGGGTCGGAAAACTGCGTAAGCAACTTTCCACTGTAAACTTTGGGATTTATGAAAGAAAACTTAGCGGAAAAATGTGCGCAACTTTAAGTTGACTAAGGACCTGGCTTACGCACATTTTGGATATGGAGAGCACCTGTAGTGCTGCTGCTGAGGACAAAATTATGAAATCCTGCAGCATTATCACTTGTACTGCTTCGTTTTCACACAGAACAAGACCCCCACACGCACATGCACACACACACACACACAGCCTGAAGCCCAGAATACAGAATGCAGAATATCAGCAGGGGGACAGATTGAGACAGAATGTCATGCGTCTGTGACAGTGTGTGTGTCCTGTCACTGTGACTGACTGATCATGCACCCTGGCTACTTGGACAAGGGAGATCTCTGTTTGGGTGACTGGTTAGTGGGCGTGACTTTCACCTGGGAGTCTGGGGATCGAATGTCGACTGGACCAATTTTTTTTTATATCCGCCTCAGATCTTTCTGAAGAATTCACAACATTGACGGCTTCAGCAACGCTGTGCCACTCAGTGGATTTTCTCTCATTTGTTTTGCAAAAGCACTTCCTTTCTTTTCTCCACCTCACCCACGAGTCCTTAAATTTCTGCTTCTGTGAAATTGCGCTTCCTTGATCTGCCTTGTTCTACAGTCGCCATCGTCATTGGCGGAGCGCTGCAACAGCCAGTTTATGTATATGCATGAGATCCACAAGGCACTTTGCACTATTTATGGCAGAAAGTGGGCGTGGTGAGGGCGGGATGTGACTAAAAAGCAGCTGAAAACCTTTCTAGATAGTTTCTGATTCATGAAGCAGAGATTGCGTGCAGCTGTGCGTACTCCATGTTTGATAGATCACAAACCTACTTGGCGTAAGTATATATTATTTTGCTGAGCTTAAGTACAGTTTTAGTAAGGATTCTACGCAATGTTTGATAAATGAGACCCCAGTACCTTTTGTTGCCCTTAGCCCATATGGACTTAGACCTGCTGTTTGACTCCTAGGCTAGCTTCAGGAGGTCACCAGCTGGGTTGGAGCCAGGGCTCAGCATCACAACAGGACAGAAGGGTGAGCGTTGTTCAAACATAGTCGGGAAGCTGATCACTGTGGGCTGAACATATCTGAGTAGAAAAACACAAAATATACATATGTATACATATGTATATTTTGTGAAGTGATCAGCTTCCCGATACATACATACATGTACATTATATACATACACAAGTACACACACACACACACACACATATATATATATATATATATATATATATATATATATATATATATATATATATATATATATATATATATATATATATATATATATGTATGGTGGCGCAGTTGTTAGCACTGTTGCCTCGCAGCACGAAGTTTGCAGGTTCGAAACTTGGCTGCGGCCGTTCTGCGTGGAGTTGCGTGTTCTCCCCATGCATGCGTCGGGTTCCTCCGGGTACTCCGGTTTCCCCCACAGATCACAACATGCCCTATAGGTTATAAACTGTAAGTCACTTTGGATAAAAGCATCTGCTAAATGAATAAACAAATATACATACATATATATATATACATGCATGTATATATATATATATATATACATACATATATATATATCCATCCATCCATTGTCTGAACCCGCTTGTCCATGTAGGTTCACGGGGGGCTGGTGCCTATCTCCAGCGGTCAATGGGCAATCAGGCGGGGTACACTCTGGACAGAGAGCCAGTCCATCGCAGGGCAACACAGAGACACACAGGACAAACAATCATGCACACAGACACTCACACCTAAGGACAATTTGGACAGACCAATCAACCTAACAGTCATGTTTTTGGACTGTGGGAGGAAGCCGGAGTACCCGGAGAGAACCCACGCATGCACAGGGAGAACATGCAAACTCCATGCAGAAAGATCCCAGGCCGGGAAGCGAACCCAGGACCTTCTCGCTGCAAGGCAACAGCTCTAACCACTGCGCAGCCCATACATATGTGTATATTTTATATATATAAATATATGTGTATATATATATATATATTCACATATATACACACACATATATATACATACACAAATATATTATATAGAATATATATGTGTATATATAATATATATATATATGTGTATATATAGGTATATATATATGCACACATACATACATATATATATGGGTGTGTGTGTGTGTATGTGTATAAATGTGTAATAATATATATATATATATACACACACACACACACACATATATACATGTGCTTTGGGATTCTGCCCTTGCACCACCAACCAGATCCTAAAACTAGCCAGTTGTAAAATAAATTATGCACCAGTATCTTTATTTGAGCCACCGTGGTGCCCATAGAAAACTACAACCGGCTTTACAAATGAGATGACATCGTTTCCTTCTCTTTCAAAAGCCAAAATTCAAACTAACAAATTTAAGATGCAATATAACCCACCCATTTGTGTTGACCAGATTCAGCCCAACAAAGCTGAATCAGCAGGTAAATTGTTTTTTCGTTCACAAATACAGATACTGCACAGGTAAAGTGGGAGGAGCTAAGGCAACACTGAGTGTACGAATACTAAAAACACATTCAATTGGCATCATTCTATTCATTTAGTAGAAAATTTAAAAATATTTCTGTGATAGTACAATCATAGAAACCAGAGCATCATATGATTCTGTAAAACTGCCACCAGAGTTGAGGTAGAACATGATCCTATCTTTCACAAATCTTTTACTAAAGTTGTTAATTACACCCTCGTAACTCTCAGAGGACAGGAATCAGATTCACCACTTTCTGCCGCCTCGTGTGACGCGATGACTCAGGTGAGCTCAGTGAGGCCCTGCTACAAAAACCTGGTGGAGCGAGAAGTCTGACTCAGATCGGTGCCGGCTGTGGAGCCAATGTCTTCAACCCGGATTATTAACTTCATCTACTCGTTTTATTTTGTTTCAAGTCCTTTTGAAGAGTTGATTGGTAAAGTTTGTCAACCAGTGCGGTTGTCCACAAAAAAGGTTGAGAATCACTTGCTGCAAGGTGCCCAGTGATTGGACGCTAAACCTGACAGAGAAGCTCCTTAAAGTCAAACTCACAGCATCATTTCAAACAAAACAAAGGAAAATGATGAAATGAATGTTAAGGAAAAAAAGACAACAATTTAAAAATAGAGATTCATAAAGAGGTTACGTAGAATTTACTTGTTAGGAAACACAAGCGACTAAAAAATAAGGCCAAAGGTTCTTCTAGCAACACAAAAGCCCAACTTTTGCATTAGTCATTGAAAATTATACTTTACATTTGCTGCATTCACAAGTTTACATTAACTTCTGCCAGTAGTACTATAATCGTCCCACAACGTTTCAAAATGTCCGAAGGCTCCCAGTAAAAAAATATTCTTTGTTCCACAATGAAAAACACTCAGGATCTGTGGGAGGGGACGGTGCTTCGGGTGGAGGCTTCTCTAACTCCCAACGCTTACTTCTTCACATAAATTGTTAAAATAAAATAAATATTAAAATTCCCAGAGTCCTCGTAAGCACAGAATCCTGCTGGTTTTTGTGTCCTTCATTTACCAGCTGCGTTATTAGTCTCTTCACAGTAAACCGTCGTGCTCCAAGCTGGATGGCAGCAGAGAGAAGGCAAACGGGCAAAACTTCACTCCGGTCCCACCGTAGAATTTATTTTGAAACTCCACCCTATAAAGAAAGCAAACAGCTGTTAGGACAAAAATAAATAAAAAACACACATGCTTAACTTTTTTTAACGAGTCAGACGCCAATCAGCAGCAAAAACGTCCCACGAGGTCACAAAAAAAGTCACGACAGATTTCCAAAACCACACGTGATTTTGGCATTTCACATAAAGTTTTGCGGTGAATGTTCTGTTCCATTTACCTCAGCTATGAGAGTTTCACCGGTATCTGCTCTTGATGTGTTCTGGAAGTGTAAACCATTAAAGATAGACTCAAAGTATTTGGAGGAACAACACATCACTATGCTTCTGGGACACGGCAAGAAGGCGTCACATCACAGCCAGCGGAAACACACACATCAAAGAAAACGGCGGCTAATTGCTGCACATTATGCTTCACTGACGTTACGCAACACTCACTCCTATTTCACACTGCAAGCATCAGCGGCGCAGAGCAACGCTGCTTCAAATAGAATCCATTATAGTCTATGGGGATGTTTCAAACGGCAATTTTCAGGCGCGTCCGAGAAGCGGCTCACCACGCCACGCTGCTAAAGATAAGAGCGGGATCCATTTTTGCCATGTGCCGCTCCCGAGACACGACAGTTTCTGCAGGTGACATAGGGCTAAGCAGGAAATCACACACACAGTTTCAGTGTAAAACCCCCAGTAATTTTCAAAATAAAAGACTATTAAAGTTATGCAAATTCATGTATATGTAGATTACGTCAATTCATGTGACCTAATGGCTTATTTACTCCCAGCATCGTTCCAGAAGTGGAACAGTGTTTTTATGGCTTTAATCCTGGCAGTGGAGAGGAACAACATCATGTTATTAAATGTGATTTCCTTCTTTTGGGTTTAATGGCGGATGGCATTAACAAACTGTGACCTTTAAGCTTCTAGTGTGAAATTGGGGTCACGCAACTGGTGGAAAGTAGCCTAGTGAACTAGACCAAATTCTTGCTTTGCAAAGAATGAAATAATAAATAAATAATACATTAATACATTTATTTAGTCTGGCTTGCCAGGCTAGGTATAAAGGCCTGGTTCGTCCCATGTGTTAAAAGTCACACAAGTGCTTACCAATGCAGCCGCAGTGCATGAAGGAAGGCAGAAAGACCCTCCATAATCAGGAGGATGGACACGGTCAGAACGGCAAACACGCCAAACACCGGAACCAGGAATAAAACCCCAAGACGGGTGTCCATTCGTAGTCCCACTCTCATCACCATGGCCCACAACACCTCCGACAGCTCTGTGAGTGAAAGAGGAAAAGAAGTTACGATTACATGTTTATTATCTGCTACATACAAAACCAAAAGGCAGAAAATCGAAGACAAAGAGAAATGAAACCATCATACTCACGTGCGTGTGCCAGGCTCAAGGCCCAAAGCCTCAGGTAGGAGGCTGTGTTTGAGATGCAGCCCAGGCAGAACTCTATAGTGTGGATGGCCTGATGGAGGAGCTCATCTGCAAAGTTAAACTATTAAAACAACATATCAGAAAAGTTAAATCCAAGAAAAAAAAAATGTAAAGATCTGCTTTTTCTTGGCCTGACCTCCTCTGAGACGTTCTCTCCGCTACTGGAGAAATCACTGTGACTGCTGCCCTCCTCTTCATCATGATTCCTCAGCAGGATGAGGTCTTCGTCACTGTTTCGCCGCACACGTTCATATCCCTGAGGAGCCACGCACAAAATAAGTTAAAGGTAGAAATGATGAAGGGGAAACCAGCTGTTGGTTTCTGATCCTCACCCTGTACATTCCTACATGGCGGCGGCTTCCATTTTTAAACCAGTTGAGGTAGACGGGCTTCCCCAGAAGTAAAACAGGCACTGAAAGAACAGCAATGACCACCAGAAATATCTGTAGGCCAGTCTGGAAATGCAGAACAACATCATTCAGAGCTGAACAATTCTAATTTACAGCCTTAAACCACAATAACGTAGATCCATAGAGATCAAACCCCTGGAGCGTTTTACCTGCCCTGGGTAGAGCGGCCGCGGCGCGCCCCTCGCGTCCCTCTGCATGAGGAACATGTTTATGAAGTGAATGAGAATGCTGGGAGCGAAGCTGGAGTCCGTTACAGAGAAGACGAGCCACTTGTAGACAATCATGAACACCAAGTAGCCAAACAGGCACATCAGGAAGAGGAGTTGAGGCAGAAACACCAAGTAGAGGTTGTACTTCTTCCTGAAGTATCTTTGGTTTAGAGACATTTGTGTTAGGGCCACATTCACAGACGAAAACATCATCGATAATGATGATACTCACATGTGATTGTACGAGCTGAGGATGACCCCAAAGGTCATGTGAATGATGCCCAAAATCACAGACATCTTCATTTTAAAGGAGTTCAGAAACGTAAGGCGGTTGGACGCCAAGTTCCAAATCTTTATGAGAAACATGAGAAAATAGGACTTAAATCCATTCATTTCATTTGAACTTTTACCTTAACTACATTTGTTATGTGCAAACAGAACGAGGGGTAGACCGGTATATTGAGCCGGTATACCGGGTCGATATTTTCTGTTCTTTTATACATCGGCTGTTCTTACTAAAGTTGATTTAAAGTCAGGCAAATCTTCGGGCAGCTGGGTGCTGTTGCAGAATTTCATTTAAATGTAGTTTTACATTCACCAATAACATCTGCATAATCAACTAAACTAAATAAACTTTATTTAGATGTCTGACTTAAATTCAGAGTTGAAAAGCTTCAGAAATGTTGTGCATCTCCTGACGGTATTAGTGACATTTTAGCAGGAAAATACGCTGGAAAATATCTGGAAAACGGCCATGAAAATTGGCGGTCCATACAGGCCTTGGGCTGACCAAGTCTCCTACAAGCGGGCGTCGGTATTGTCAACAGAAAAACCAACATCGTCTTTTCTGTCATCTTTTGATTTTTATATGAAGTGAAAAATTCTTTGTAAGCGTCAACAAAAATTAAGCAACAGATCTTATTTTAGTAAAGACTTGTTGCCGTTTACTGCATCAGTATGGCCGGTTTCTGTATGTGTACAAACGCCTCCTCAAGTACGCCGCGATAATGACCATTTGTAAAATACTGGCCAAATAAAACCAGGCTGGTCATTTCCTGTTTTTTTTTTTTAGTTTAGTTTATTTCAAACAAAGAAAACATACATTTTTTTAAAAAAATACCACAAACAGAAAAAAATACATATCCTCATCCCTTTTTTTCTTCTTCTCTGTCTGAAAAGGAGTAGGCTGAAGTGGAAACTTATATGTCCCTACCCCTTTATACAAGTAATTTTTACTTGTTTACTAAATGTAACACAAAACCTACATTAAAACAAACAAAATGGTACAAGTCACCAAAAACCACCAAACCATATGGAAAAAATTTACAATGTGTAATAAATTCTAATCTCAATTCTACAAATGTACCTTTATTCTGATGTCTCCATTAGAGACAAAGATTTTACACATTTGTTTTCATGGTTTTAATTTTGTTTACCTTGCATTATGTGTCTTTTGCTCTTTAAATATGTTTTTGTGCCGAGTGTTTCTTGTCTATCCTGATCGATGCCTTGCTGTTTGTAGCACTGAATTTATAAAAGGACAAATCCGAGCTTATTCTTAAATTATCGTGGATTGTAAACAGAAAGTCATCTTAATCACTTATGTAATTTTAAAAAATTATAAATCAGCTAAAATGCATTCTTCATTTTTGCTAAACATTTGTCTTTAGGAACAAGATAAAAGTAGAAAAGTGTGATGAATGAATGCATCTACAAGTCTTCACTTCAATATTGAATTATTTGGCATAATATAAAAACAAGACAATTATTAAATATGGATAAGTACTCAAGATTACTTTAAAACAAGATCCATGTACAATTTTAACTACTTACCTGGCGTCCCTGATTGTCATAAAGGTATTTACAATCACACAATTAACAAGAAACAACAAATATCAACAATTAAAAATGCCTTTTACAATTCTACTCACTGGATCAATCCCTAGAGGGTACGGTCCGTGAAACACTCGTGAAGTGTTTGGATCTAGAGTGAGATAAGTATTCGCTGTGACATCGCTGTCCCTATAATAAAACAATCTGATTATTAAAAGAAATATAAACATCCCAAACAGGTGATGTGCTGCTGATATTTCTTTGTCTAAAATGGCCACCGTGTCGTTTGATACTCACTTCCAAACATTTGCATCAAACATGGCCTTCACACTCCACCCAGAACCAAAAATGTTTAAAGATTTTGAGAAACAGTCGTTGTATATCAGACCAGTATAAATGGAGAACAGGCCCATCATCAGAATGATGTAACGGCCCTCAAAGAACGTGTTCCAGATCTGCACCAAAGCAAACACAGCAACGCTTTACAGAACCAACACACTGCTGGGAAAACTGAATAAATGAGCGTCATCCACTCACCTCGTTCCTGGTGTTTTTAAGTTTGCGGTTGTTTTCATGCAAAACCATGAGGGCCGCAAACAGAGTCATAAGGACTCCGTGACCGAGGTCTCCGAACATCACAGCGAATAGGAATGGAAAGGTAATGAGTGTAAATGGAGCTGAAAACGACAAGAAAGAAACAAGACATCATTTTTGAAAACTGGTATGCTACAAAGTTTTTAGGTGAAGCCTGCAAGGAAAAAAAAACCTTATGAAAGTTTTATTAATTGAAGGATTTTTGTGCTTCTCAACTCTAAGCTGATGTTCAATTTTGTTAAGTGACACTAGGATGTCCCACCCTTTTTTTTAGACTTAAAGGGGACATATTATGACTTCTTAAGTTAAAATAGTTTTATGGTCGATACCAAACATGTTTATCAAGTTCTTTACACTAAATCACTCTCGAATCAATTTCAGAAGGTTTATTCTCGGCAGAATGAGTCGTTTCAGGGCTCTGTCGATTTATTAAGCCATTCGCTGTCAGCGTTTCTCACGGTTTTCACTGGGTTTTTTAAGAGTCACAGAACGTTGCGCGCTAGGATGATGTCGACGTCGAAACAACCAAAACAAAGCGGAGACTCACCTCTTACATCAGGAAGAATCCGCGCGTTTCAAGCTTTATCCGTTCTTTCATAATCCGTTGTCTGCTTCCTGATCACGTGACGTGTGACGTATGCGGATGAAGATCGGCTTTAGAGCTGAGATGTTTGTTCTCACGGTGCGGGGGCTCGTTCCGATGCCCACACAGTAAAAAAATGCAAATGATGACTTTAGTCGTCATTGGCAGTAAACGGTTGGACTTAAAATGATGACCTTAGTCCTCAATGGTATTGAAGGAGTTAAGAAAACAAGCTGGGGCTGGCTACGTCCACCCATCCCCCACTCAGGCTGCTATAAGCTGAGAAGCTCCGATAACGAGGAAGGGCGCAGGGTAGAGCCGCTGCTCCTCCAGCAGCAGCAGCTTTCTTGCACATGAAAGGTGGTTCTATTCTAATTTCCCTGTTTGTGACATCACAAATAGGGACTTTTTGAAACAGCTTGTTATAGGCACATTATTCCTAAAACCAAACATTGACAGAAAACGGATGGATGCATTTTTAACATTTGGATTGTTTATAGCTGAGGCTCAGATAAGCGGATTGGTGCTGCATCTGCAGTGATGCAGGCGTTGTACCGATTTGCCATGGTGAAGAGAGAGCCGAGCCAGAGGGCAAAGCTCTCCATTTACCGGTCGATCTATCTTCCTACCCTCACCCATGGTCATGAGCTTTGGGTAGTGACCGAAAGAACGAGATCGTGGATACAAGCGGTTTTCGCCGCAGGGTGGCTGGGCTCTCCCTTAGAGATAGGGTGAGAAGCTCGGTCATCCGGGAGGGGCTCTGAGTAGACCCGCTGCTCCTCCACATCGAGAGGACCCAATTGAGGTGGCTCGGGCATCTAGTTAGGATGCCTCCTGGTGAGGTTTTCCGGGCACATCCAACTGGCAGGAGGCCTAAAGGAAGACCCAGGACACGCTGGAGAGACTGTGTCTAACGGCTGGCCAGGGAACGCCTTAGGATTGCCTGGAGGAGCTGGTCCAAGTGGCTGGGGAAAGGGAAGTCTGGGCTTCCCTGCTTAGGCTGCTGCCCCCGCGACCCGACCCCGGATAAGCAGCCGAAAACAGATAGATGGATTGTTTATAGAGGCACATGACAGCACTAAAGTACGCAAAGGGTGAGTTTTGCAGAATATATCCACTTTAACATATGCTGACTTTTATTACAGTTTGACCCACCACTGTTTACTCAGAGCTTTATCCAGTGAGGCAAACACGCATGTTTCATAAAAATATCAAAGAGTCATTAAAACTCACCAGGGTTTATCTCCCTGTAAGAGCACACCCCGTAGGCATCCACAATGTTCTGGAAGCCAGAGGTAAATTTGTTGGTCCTTATCAGAGTGGGGGGAGTGTCCGTGGTGGGGATGCGATTGACGAAAGAGGGAACTGTCGCTCCACTTTTTCTCTGAAGAATTAAAAAGAAAACTTTAGATCAACATGACATAAAAACACAAAAAAGCACCGATTTGAAGGTTTTGTTACCGATCCGTCTTCCAGGGCTCTGCGGAGTTCCGGAATGTCATTAACGGGACACCACACTTCGGCGATCAGGCACTTATTAGTCACATCAAAACTGCACAGGTTCAGAATGTAATAGATGGCCTTCATTTTCTTGACTTGGACCATCCAGGTGTAGACCGACTCTGAAGCTCTTATCAGGACCTGCCTCAGATACTCTTCTGTCCGGTGAAGCACCTGGACACAGAGACGGAGTTATTTATTCCTGAGATTTCAGCATCACAGAAAGCAAACATTAACTTAGCAGGCTGAATAGGCTCAGTTCCTCTGCATTTGCATGGTTCGGAGATTACATCTACAAAGTAGACCTGAGAAAAGGTCAAAGAGAGGGAAAGGAGAAAGACCTGAGTAACATTGAGTCGAGGACTCCTGATGACACAGGAGCTGAACGACCTGTTTCCGTCACCGTGTTAAATAGCTGCCACATGACTCAGAGTGTAAAATAACCCGTTTCTCCAAACCGCCACAAGAGCAAATGGGCTCAGCTTTCAGAAAATAAACAAAACAATAGAAGAGATCAAAAACTGAAATCTAACCGTAACATTACTGGACAGTTTACACAGAAAGTAACACAGGTGGATCATTTTTAGGTAATTTCTTAGATGAAAAAGAGAAAACTTCTTCTCTGTCAGCGTATCTAAAAACCTACCGTGTACAGATCCTGAATGCGAGTTCTTAGTCCTTCCACAACGTCGTTCCTCTCGTTGTTGCTGCTGGGATATGGGTACAAGTGGCAATGGTAGCTAAAATGGAAACGAGAGTACTTTACTTTAACTATGGTAATACAAACAAGTACTATAGAGAATGGCCTTTAAATACTTACCAGTCACAGATCTTCTTCACTTTCTGGCCAATCTGGTCTCCCCAGTAAGAGATGAGAAACACCACGCTCTTGGTAGGCTCACCCTGCAGAGGAAAATAACACCAAGTTTGAAAGATACAAAACGTTTTTAAAATCAAGCTTTTTAGGGAAACTGAAGCTTTTTGAAGCTGAAGAAGAGAAAAGGAACGACTAAAGAAAAAAACGTCGAGGCCGCAGAAGCAGGTTCCTTTGGGAGGAAGAAAATCTCACTTTTGCCACATTTCTCAGTAAAAACTAACTCTGCCCATTTTCTTGTGATAAAAGCATGATTCAAATCCATTAGTGATGTGTTGCAGGTTAAGCTATTTTAAAATTTTAAATTTGAACACAATCACTAATGCAGCGCTTCCAGTGTGTCTCGCTGTTTTTTTAGAATATCTTCAGTCAGGAAAATAAAAATGACCGTTTGGGTTTTTGCTCGTTTTGCGGAGTCCAATTTTTTTTCCAACTTAGCAGAAGAGACCAATAAACTTTATAATACCAAATTACATCTTAAATTATTTATTTAAAAGAGTCTTAATATCACGTCTCACAGGAGGACAGAGACTCCTAATGTAAGATTTGCTATGTGATTAAAGAGGACTCAGTAAATAAAAAATACTTCATTAAAATATACTTTTAACCTTTCTGATGGATCAGAAGGCTGTTTTTTAATACATCACATTTAAAATCAGCTTTGAAAATTGGGCAGATTTAGGCTTTTACTCTACAAAGGACAACCCGCAGCATCAGGAAGCGGGAAGAACCAGACAAACCTCTTACATGCTGATGTTTACATTTTACTTTACTGTGAGGGAACTAAGACAAATGAGGAATTATGCAGCAGTTCCTGCTCTCGTCAGCATTTTCTGCACCAATTTCAAATCTTTTGCCATCGTTAATCCGTCTTTTATCCTACAACCGTGCTGGACTGCGGTGCAAATGTGACACGAGGGTAAATTTTATTCAGTTTGAATGCAAATGTCAGAGCTTTGAGAAATGCACCGTGTCAGGATCTTCTAGGTACTCCTCAACCTCTGCATAGCTAAGGATGGTGTAACCTTTGCAGACTCTCCAAAGCATTCGCTCAAACGCCTCGATCTTTGCCCGTTGAATCAGCCCAGAAATGAACCTGGAGGAGAAAAAAGGAAGATGTTTGCCAGCAGGTTACATGTGATTCAAATAGAACAGACTACATTGTCGCCTCTATAAAACTTTCTTAAGGCTAGAAGGAAACGTTGATTTTTTTTATTATTAACATAAAGAGCAATTAGTTAATACATCAGTAAAATATAAGGAAATTATTAATATTTGCTCACTTCATTAACTTTAAATAAAAATTCTGATTGATATTTAAAAAGGTTCACTCATATTTTAATGTATTGTCATGCGGGTCTAGTAGGAATGAATGCCATGATATCTCCCGTGACTCTGCCGGCTGCAGGTTGTGACCCCCCCCCCCCCCCCCCCCGGGGCAATGCTCTGCGCCTCTCGAGAGGGGGCTGGGGCTTTTCTGGTTACAGTCTCCCTGGGGTCCCTGCGCTCTGGGGCAGCTCCTGGATCTCTGGGACTTGGAGCTCCCTCCATCTCCTACACATCTTTGGGGGGGGGGGGGGGGCGGATCTGTGGCCCCCTCACACTCTCTATTGGACGCTCCTACAGAGAAACCTTGCATATACAAGCGCGTGTACACACCAAGCACCCACAATGCGGCTCAAAAATTAAGCCCAACCCAGAAGTACCAAAATTGCAGTTCCACCCTCATCCGCTGGGGGCTGGTGTCAGAAGCGAGCAAATCCTCATTGACTCCCATGTTAAAAATACCAATTTCACAGCAGAAATAAACATGTTTACAGCCTGGTTCCAGAACATGTTTTTTGTTTAAATTATCTAGTTTACACTCATGACAACTCTGAGGGGGGTGAATTTTTTTCTCACTCTTCTGTTTAAGTGTATTAAAAGCCTAAAATTCTGTATAATTAATGAGCATCAGACCCACGTGACCACAGAGCTAGCTCCGTGGAAAGGCCTCAGTAGAGCCTCGGTCTGGTTCTGTATTCTTTTTTGGATATTTTTTGTGCAATTGTTGGACAAAATGACTTGCTGTGGCATTAATTGCACTAATAGAGCGTCCAAGGAGTCTCCACTTCATTTTTTTCGGTAAGTAAAATTATATTTATGTATTTTAGGTCACTGCCGAGCTGAGCTTAGATTTTAACATGTACTGTTTAACCATGAAATTTAAATGTAATAGGGTAAACTCCAGTGCATTTAACATAATGCTGCACTTTAGAAAATGGGTTGAAATATAACATGATGGTGGAGCTGGGTTCCCACTATTGGCTTGTGGAGCTCTCGGGAGACCGATGTTTTCCAACCCGGTTCTCCCCTCCCCGCAGCTCGGCGCATCTCTGTCTGATCGCGGCTTCTGACTGCTGCGCGGCTGCCGGCTTTCAGCAGCTTTCGGGAGACCTCTGTGTTCCACCCGGTTTTACCCAGCGGTCAGCCCGGTGTATCTCTGACTCAGAAGCTCTGGTGTTGTGCACAGTTAACTCCGGTTGTAGCTAGGTTGCTACCTCCGTTAGCTTAGCTCCCACCTCCGTGTTAGCTTTGGGTTAGCTTCAGGTTAGCTTGTAGCTAGTTTGACCGGGTGTCGTCAGTTGATCCCAGTCTTACAGCCCCACCCTCAGCTCCACCTCTCTTCCCTTTTGTGGAATTGTCTGGGCTTGACGGAACCTGTGACACGGTCAAAATGGAGGTGGTGGCCACCTCCCATTTTGGCACAAAAACGTGTTATTGGAGCCTGTGAAAATGAATTGTCCAGTATATATGTCGATGGTGCACACACAGGTGCTCACATGGTGCTCTCATAAGTATGGACTTGGGCATTTTAAACACATGTCTTAAGGCTGTGGTTGGCACTAAATGCACTCATTTATTATTGTGTGATTGTTCAGTAAAACAATGTTGGTTTTATATTTCCTCATCAGATTGATGTAGTGATAGCTTGCTCTAGTTGTATTATTGTGTCCTCTTCTTTTTTTTGTTTGTTTTTTTCTTTCTGCAGGTCTAGAAGCAGACTCTTGTTCATCAGTGATTGTTAATTTTTGCAGCGGGATTTGAAGTCTAGTTCCTGATATTCGGACATCACATTTTGGATAACAGCAACACGAATCTACCACTGAATCAGTTTGTTTTGCAACATTGATTTTTTTATCTTCAATTCAATTCAGATTAGGATGGTTTCGTCACTGTTGGGTTTTAAATCACTTTTAAAGACTCATCTGTTCTCAGTTGCTTTTAATTCAGTTTGAGAATGCATCTGTTTTTAGTAGCTTTTATGTCAGTTTGATATGTTTGTTTTTATCATGTTTTTACTTTGAGATTAACTTTTTATCTTATTTTTAGAATTTTTAGGGAACTTCTGTTCTTTTTGGCTTGTTAAGCACTTTGATCAGCTTTTATGCTGTTGTTAAGTGCTTTATAAATAAAGTTGACTTGACTTATCTCCACAAATAACTCAAGCCTAGTTCTGCTGTGTGGTGTAGTTACTAATGCCAACTGTTAGCTTCTGCTAGTCGAGACGTTCTCTGCCGTTTGCCCCGTCGCAAATCAAGATGGGCAAGTAAAAGTTCATGTAAATTATTATTGATACATTCAAAAAGAACTTTCAGATATTTAAATATGAACGGCATCAGTGCAGCGCTTACCCCAGCTTGGCTCCAAGCCTCTGCATGCTGCTGTAGTCCATCCTTGTGTCTTTTTCTAGAAAGGGAAACTCCTCATACTGAACGTGGAGTGGCTCTCTCTAATCGTAAAAACAAGATACAGGGAAGTTTAAGCTACTTTGGCAAATCTGGAAAACAAATTAGCTTAAAACATTTGTCATGCATCTTAACAACGCTCCATTATAGTACAGCTATAAATATACTCTGGAGATTTAAAAAAACATTAGTAAAGGAGTTCTTGTCTAAAACTTCCACCAAGTACGAGTTTCAGAACAAAAGCAACTATTGGGCCATCCAACTGTCGGTTTCGCCAAACCACCACACTTCCCTGGGTCCTCCATTCATTACACTGGTGTATTTAGCAACAGGACACCACTGGTGTGAAACGTTCTCTGCTTAGTAATATCAGAGAAGGAGAAACAGCCAGCTCCTACCACTTCAACTTTAGGACAAACTACCAGAGTCCCAAAAAGTAAAACACCAAACAAAAGACATTTGGACCTAGAAAACAGCGACTGGTGTTTAGCATTGTCTCGTTTCCTCTTGAAATGTGTGTTTATGGTTCTGGCAGAAGCGTCTCAGGAAAGTTACCTTAGGGGAGGGCTGAGTGTTCTGTGACCATGTTTGCATTCAAAACCTAGCTTGTTCTGTAGAACAATACTATACAACAACAATACAACCACTATAACAGCTTTTAGAAAACAAACTTAAAATGTAATTCAAAAGAAACTCTCAATGACAATATTGTAGCTAAATTAAACACCTCAGCCGATCTTTGGACAAAGTTGCGGGTGATGCGAAGCATGTGTGTGTACTCTGTCAGCTCCAGCAGATTCTTCTGTAGCTTTTCTTTGTTTCTGGTGACTTCACCCAATTCAACTTCAAGCCTCTGCAATTGTTCCTGTGAAGAAGTGTGTATGCATGAGCAACAAATGTAACAAAAAATAAATAAAAAGATTAACAATAATACTTTTATTACTACTAACAATAATACCATGGCTGCTTACCATTATGGTCAGGATAGATTTGGGTGAAGGTGCTACAGGATTCATGTCTCTTTCTGGCACAGAAATATTTGCTTTCTTGATTTCTCTCAAAAGGTATCCTGATAAAAACAAAAGCAATCTCTTTCAAGACACAAACACTGTCTCTGAATGTTTCTAAGCAAGTCTGACAGTGTGTGTCTTCTTCTTAATCCAATAATCCAGGGTCTAGTTAACCAAAATCAGCAGTTCATTAAACCAAATTTACAACCACCTGATGATCCTCATGACTGTGGAGTCACTGGGCATTTCTGTGAGAAGATCCACTGTGGTCTTGTGTATTCTTGCTTGTACTTTAATGGCTTTTTCTGAGGATATTTTTATTGTCGGCCCCAAAACCAAAACAATAAGTGCACTGCGGTTTCTCCTTACCCAGGATCCTCTCCATCTCTTCACATTTTTTGATCTCGCTAACGTGTTTTCTCTGGAATGCATTCACGTTGGGATTGAGCTTAAATGAAATGCAAACAAGACCATGAGTCATACACAGAATTGTCAACAATCCTCATATGTTCTCATTGTTGTGGCAGTTTGATAACCCACTTAAATTATACTCTTTGAAACAGACCATCTGTCATAACTACGCAGTGATGCACCTCTGTCTCATATTAGCTAACATTTTAATTAGATTTTTGGAGGTAAATGCTATATTGTCATACACATACTACACAAATACAAGAAATTACCAGATTTTATTCTAAGTTATGAAGTTTTGCTGGGGAAACTTGAAGTCAATGTTCTTCCTTTCCTTACATCATATAAGTTAGCAATAACTTGTTTAGTATAGCTAAGGAACTTACGTCTCTGAATTCCACCAGTCCCAGTTCGCCCAGTTCACTGATGCAGTCGTATGCGGAACCAGACTGCAGAAATAACTGGGCCAGACACATCTCTTCTCCTCGGAGAAGAGAGCCCATCTTCTTGGCTGTCGACTCGCAGATGTTCTCGTTCCTATGGTAGCAAATTTAACAGGTGGGGTCTCTGTGAGGTGTACACCGTCGGTCAAGTACTTCCTTGTCTTTTCGTGGCTTGGCTCAGGTGATAAAACAATGCTTAACTTGCATAATACGTCATTTACATACCTTCCGTCGCAACAGCGGCTACTCCAGATAGCGGGCTAATTTGTTAGCCAGGTAGCCGTACTCCTGCTTTGTAAATTGCGGTATGTTTCGTCAAAGTTTAGTGAGACTAGATAAGCTCGGGTGCCTTAACCTAAAGCAACGAGCAAGTATTTTCACTGTTTATAAAGTTTCAGATGTTTGTTAACCATCTCGGTAACTCTCCACGTCACTTTACTTGAAGTCGATCGACTTCCACAAGAACCATCCGACCAATCGGGACTCGCGTCAGGAGTCTGCGCAGTGCACACATATGTCTTACAAAAAAAACTTTATTAAGAACAAAAACAAGACAGGCGACTACGAGTGCGTTGGCGTAAAATGTGAGTAATAAAAAGACTGACGTGCAAATTTTGATAAAAAAATGTTCAAAGAAGCAAACTTTTGAGACGTTTATATCATTTATTATTTTATATTTTTATTATGCTCAGCTTTAATTGTTTACTATTTAATTTTTCATTAACGTTTAGAGCAACAAATCAACACCTATTTTTCAAAATTCATGAGGACCCTCCAACTACTCTCAAATATCTAAGAGAAATAAAAAAGAATGCACATGAAACAATATTATCATTTAGCCAATTTTCTGTTATTCCAAATGAAATATGTGTGTGGGCTAAAGATGTATGTAAGAAGGACCAACAACGTTTGCTAATGGGAATATTATAATTTGAGAATAAATTAGTAATTATAAATTTAAATGCAAATTCAAGGCTAATTCAAACAAGCTGAACACCTCTAATAATATCGAATACTGCAGCTCATGGTACTCCTAATAATAATATCTCATCGGTTTTGAAAGTGTCATGAATTGTGGTGAAATTCCCAAAAAGTATGTCCACCTGTAGAAAAATATTTTTATTTCCAAGAATTGCAATATTACAACTGTCAACCCTTTACAAACCACTTCAAAACTATAAAATAATTTACCACCTCTAATAGAAAAATAGCATTTCACACTGATAGTCATCCTTTTGAATCTTACTTTCCCTTTATCGGCCTGAATGTCATCCTTTACATCTTTTCCAACCATTTTTAAATTATTTTAGAGAGCAGCATTGTGCCATGCCTGTCTGATCTGTCTCCATGGAGTCCCAAGGATCGAGGCTGCAATAAACATTCCTACCAAGACCATGCCTTTAGCCAGCGACTGAGAATAAGGCTCACCTGTAGGAAGAAAAGGTCAAATAAGCATTATTATATCATTACTATTCTTAATTCACTCTGGGAATGATTTATTTAACACAAATGCTAAAAATAAATCATTTTTTTTAATCACCCAGATTCATAAATAATTGATTCACATCATCCAACTTAACATTTTAAATGCCACGGATACGTTCTTACCTGTGAAATATCTAGTGAAGGGAAAAGCAAGCTCGGGCCAACACACATCATTCCTGTTACAGTCATATTCTGTGAAGTTGATCTGAAATCTGCAGAGAAAAATAAAATCACACTCTATGTTAGTAGCTCAGGCTTCACAGTTCTTCCTAAGAGTGGTCCAAACGTTCCAGCACCTGCTTTTGGGTGGACCTGTGTTAACTGGGATGTCAATAAATGTAACTGAAGATGTGATGGAGAACAACTGAGGTGTGTCTGGGTCCTGGCAGGAAGAAATGTCACCTCCTCCACATTCCAGTGTCCAAGTGGTCCGGCTATAACTGAAAATGACCAGAAATGGAAACAATACCTCAACTCAAAACCACTTTGTGGTCCTAATTGGACTTGCACTGTGAAATTTGTGTTGCGAAATGATGTGATACACACTTGACTTCCAGTGCATGGATTTCCCTTTGAGGTATGCCACCTATCTGGCCGGTGATAAGAGTCCAGACCTGGATGTGTTGGTGGGATGGAACACCATCACATGCACTTGTGACTTTCCCCATAGCTGCACTTGAATTCAGAGTCGCGTCTAGATTAAATGATGTGAAAAACACCGTTTAGTTTCAGACAGAGTAGGAAATGTGTCACAAATATTAGCAAGAAATAAAATCAATGCTTCTTCGCACCGTCAACTTACAGCTTATGTTCACCCAGTCCATCAAACTGGTAAAATCTGGGTTTCCACGTTTTGCCACATAAGTGGCAGCTATCAGCGTTTCCTGTAGATTAGTGACCTTCTCTCTAAAGCACAAAAAACATTACATCTGATGCTCAAATACAAAAACAGACAGTGCAGCTTTCACAGTACATACTGAAGATGAATCCTAGCAAGTCACTGACCTGAGGAGATTACACTGAGTCAGATCATGTCGGCTGACAGGAAGCAGGCAACCGGAAGTTGAATTTTCACCAAAAATAACCATTTTTTTCTGAGCAGTAGAACACAGTCCATCATGCACTAAAGGCCAAATCAGGAGAAAACATGTTAGTTGTTAATTTAGAAAGTACTGAAAAGTGTCTGAGTATCAAAATAGATTTTATCTACAAATAAACTAAATGACAACTGATTTTACCTGATTTCCAAATATTCATTATTCTCCTCTGTATTACTTCTGTACCGTTTTCCACAACACCAGCAATAACAGGTTTTCCCACTTGATAACCTGTTGTTTAGATGAGTTAGAATGATCACATGGGATAGGATTCTTTCATATTCTCAATAAACTTGTTTGAGGCTTATAAAATTATTATTTCCTTCCTCCTACCTGGGTTTCCAGAGTTGGACTCAGGCCTGAATTCTCTGTTCAGAAACGCAGCAGAATATCTTGCAGTTAGCATCACTGTTTAGAAGACAGAAGTCAGTCAACACCATGTGGCACAGGTTTGCTAACTATAACAGGAAGTGTTCAAAGTTACAAGTCACCGCTCTGATTGGAGGTGATAGTCCCAACCGTGCGTGTCAGTGTGATACCCGTGATGCCATTTCCTGTCCAGAAGAATTTGTAATCCAGGGCTACGGTCACATTTGGGCATTCCAGCCTCTCAGCTTTGGATAAATGTGAGAATATTTTATCATAAATGTAACTGTCAAGGGTTGTTTCAGTGCCAATAATCTGTGCTGAAGACATACATACATATGGCGTTAACGACACTGCTTTCAGAAACGAACACACTCACGTCAGGGATCACGACATCAGTTACGTTCACCACCACAACTCCTGGGGAAAAACAATAGTATGTCACTTGGATCCAAACATTTCCCAACAGCTATCCTCCATAGCAGGTGAAACACACCCCCGTTGCCATTTTTAACTTCTGTGCTCAGATCTGTCAGCTGTGTTTGTAAGGGAGCTCCAGTGGGACAGGAGAGGAGAAGAGATACACACTCAACACTGAAATCCTTTAGAAAAGCCACGGGAGCCATTTTCAGACACTGACCAAAGAGCATCTGTGGAACAAAAACATGCACAAGAGCTCAGCTGTTAAATTGAGCTGTTAGTATCTGAATTTAAACAATGTAATAAAAACATTTTTACCCACCTGAGGGATTGTGAAGAATTGGCCATTTAGAGTAACAATCGGACTTCCTTGAACATAAACTGGCACCGGAGCTTTTAACATGGGCCTTTGGAAGGATGGGCCAGGGATAGATGAGCTAAAAAGTTTAAAGGACAAAAAAATACATGATGAAAACAAGACATGAAAATAATAACAGGTATAATCAAAGACACACGTCCTTTCTTACACTGTGTTTCCTTGGTAAAAGAGGCCGAGGTATGGGCTGTTTTCAGGTGGAGAATGGACACATAAAAAGGGAAACCAGTCTGGGGTGTTTTCAGAGGACTGAACTGAGCACTGATATTCTGGAGCAGGAGAGACCTGCCCACCAAACGATCCAGGCAGACAATGAGATGCAACCAGCTTCAAATCTGCACTGGAACAGTCCTGGTAATGATGAAGCATATTGTGTTTAGATTAATAAAACATAAAGTACATTCAGCCAAAATCTGTTTTTAAACTACAAGAACACAGATAGCATTACCTCGTCACAACAGCAGCGTACATCACACACTCTGTGTGTCAGATCACAGGGACAAACACCTAGAGGTTGGTACACTTGGTTTGGAATGACTGTCTGGTTATCTGAAATAAACATGACCCATAAATAAAGACATAGCCCACTCTCAGAAGTCATCACGTTGCAATATCGTGAAACCAATTTGATTTGAGTTACCAGATCCAGCATTAGTAGGGAACAACTGGGCATATAAGGAGGCCTGGATCAGCAGTGATGCCTGGGGTGTGCTGCCAACACAGGCAGACACCTGAAGGGTTTCCAGGACACACAGTGGCTTTGAACAACAGTCACCAGTTGTATCATTCTCCGTACACAAACGTAGACTTTGATTGAATCTCAAAGTTAGTCGTAATGCAGTCTGTGGTGCAAAGCAAAACAAAAAGCATAGACTTAGTGGATTATGTCATTTGCTCTTGCACTTGATTGAAGCGTTATCTGATCATTTTGATCAGACTCAGATCAGTTTCTTACCTTTCCAATCTGCTCTGTTGCCAGCGTCCATCGTGTTGCCTCTTCTACACATGATGGAGAACCAATACTCCCTGTGGAGGACAAAAAATATTTACTCCCCACCAAATCTGATCAAATTTGAAACATAAACACCAATCAGCCTAGACTTTTTGATTCAGCACAAAGGCTGAGGATCAGTACAGAGAAGGTATGTGTTTAGTTTTGATTAATCTCTCCACCTGTCGTGTTGGACAGAAAAACCTGCCTCAGCGTCAGGGAGACTCCTGAGGTGTTCCCCAGCAGATACGATGTGACGGTTGGTCCAGAAGCAACGAGAAATGTCGGCTGGAAAACTAATGAAAGAAAAACAAAACTATTTTATGTTAGCGTTTGTTCTCAAAAAATATCAAAAGGAATGCATTAACAGTTATTTCAAAAAAATAACGCGAAACTGTTAGCTCCATTGCTAGCATCAAGAAATGCTAGCTAGTTCAAGTAAGATTCGTGGGTTACTAGTAGATAATTATTAAACGCGTCTTACCAACAATGTCTTGGGAGTTAGCCAAGTAAATAAGTAGCACGATGGATAGAGCATGACGTGAAATGTTCACGGAAAGGATAGCGTTAGCCACATTAGCCATTATAGAGTCGACATATTAGTAAACTATTTGTGATGTCTTAGCAACGCGGATCTTAACCAATCACAGACAAGCGTTCTTGCTTGGATGAGGTAAAGGTTGTGTTAGCAACACCGCCCCCACCTGGTCATATGTGGAAGTGTGAAACGTTACGCAGCAAACAGGCGCTTCGTGGGTTTTTGTTTTCGAGTTTGGCAGCGCCTCGCCAGGAAAACAGACGCAGCAGGGGGAGTATGGGGACAAAAAAGCAGCTTCAGGACAGACATTAGCTTCATAAATCGTAAGTGCTGAACGTTTGCGAACTCTTGAATGAACAATTATTTACTAACCATGTTGTTAAAGATGTGGATGATTTCCTTTTCAGCCAGTAGGGGGCAGCACGTCACTTTCACAACACGACACAACTTCAGTAGAAGTAAAATTAGGTCACGTGACCAGCTAACCAACGTGCTCTTGAGAATGTGTCAACAACGATCTTCACTAAGGATTAATTAATACAAAGATGTTTGAAAACCTGTTGACAAGTCTGAAAAACAGTTTGATCATCCAGGATTCCGCTCCTGATCCCGGAAGTAAAACACTTAATTCGTTTTTTGAAAAACTCTCTGAATCTTCCAGGTTAGTTCCACATCTCTGCTTGTTTGCTTAATTTTACAAACTCGTAAATAATCACTTGCTTTTGTCTAATGCTAATAAACCTGATTGTGATTCTTGTACGTACAGGAGTAAGGTAAAAAGATGTAAGGAGCGCTGTTTAGAGGAGGCTGTCCAGCTGCTGAGACAAACATCTGTAGCTCAGCTTCGTAGTTTGGAGGAGAAACATCTGCTGCTCCTTGCCAGACTCCTCATATCCCTGCAGCTGGAGATGGCCAGCATCTCCACGGCCTGTCGCAAAGTGGACCAGGTCAGCAACACGGTCCCTCTTCATGGTGCAACAGTTTCTACTAAATCTGATTGATAAAAATGTTCATATCTGTCTGACAGATGTTGCTGCATCTGACAAAGGTGGACCACCAGCTGGTTTACAGAGAAACCCTTCACAGTTTTCACTCAATAGTCTACAGAAATCAGGTAGAGGTATCTAAAATCATTGTTGTTTGTTATTAATTTATTTGTGTTTAGATTTGTGGAATAACTTTGATCATGTGCATTTTTTAGGTTTTGTCTTTAGAAGATTTGCAGAGAGGTTGGTTAAAATTGAGGTATTTTACTTTGAAGTGACTGAAATGTAATCTTTTTATTTTTCTACCCCTTCCAGCATGCATGTTCCTGGAAGACAGCTCTGTTGGTCGTGAAGTGTGGCGAGATTCATACAAGTCCATGCTGATCAAAGTGTCTGAGCTGCTTCCTGTTGTCCTGCAGGACAAGTCCCTGAGAGATGGACCGCTGTGTTACGTCGCTGTGAAGGTAAATGTTTAAATCATGCATCATGAATGATTTGTGTAACGGTTGTTACTAACCTGTGAACTGCACCTGCTGCAGGTGTGTCTGCAGATATTCCAGCTGCTGTCCAGGGAACTTGCTCCTCATGTTTGGGAGCAGGACAGCAGAGACCCGGCGGTGCAGATGATCCTGCAGGCTCTCATGGACATTATACTTGGACAGGTTCTTCTTTTTTTTTACTCTGACTTTGGAGTCGTTCATTTGGATGACAACCTGTGTTGTTACAGCTGCTTGGTGTACGTTTTGTCTTGCAGTGCTCCAACAGGGATGCCCGTCTTTTAGCTGGGACTGCTGTGGCGATGCTGATTAACACGGCATCCGAGAGCAGAGCTGGAGGAGAAGCTGCCTGGGGTCTGTTGCAGGTCTCTCACCAAAGTAAGTCACAGCTGGTGCAACAAACACAGCAGATCAAGTAGTGACTGTTAAAACTCGTAAATCATGCGATTGATTTAATATTTGCTGCATCAGATTGTGTTTGCTGACTGTGCGTTTCTCCTCAGAGCCCTGGCAGCTGATGGTTGGCGCTCTGAAGGTCCGGTGTGACCCCTCTGCTCAGGATGGAGTGGACCGGCTGGCTGTGTGCAGGGGCCTCCTGACCTGCTGCCGACCTCACATCCTACGCAGCTCCCAGGATGACTCACAGGTGCATTCACAGATGTAGGAAACCTCTCTGACTTACTCTAGGTTTTATTATCAAATCGATCTGTTTCCACTAGACGTGCTTGCTGCTGGACGGTTTGTTTCCCCTCGTCTACTCGCTGTGCGAAGAGAAGCTGGATTGCCACTGCTTTGCCTTTGAAGGTGAGCGACGTTCCATACAGTCAGCTGACCGATTCAGTGAGAATCGCCCGTTCATTCATGACCTGCTGTTGCAGCTTTAACTCTGTGGCTGAAGAGGGTGAAAGAAAGTGTCGATGATCTCTGGAGGATGACGGGTGTTCGTCTTTTACCCGAGAACAGTCTCCTGCTGCAGCAGCTCCAGCACATCATCTGGACCAATGCAGAAAGCCCCGTGAGCCTTTGGAAATAACTAACGCAGATGCTGTCTCATGTCGAGGATGCAGAATTAAATCATTAATCATAGAAACAATCACATCACTGACTGATGATCACCTTTGTTTCTGTGCCTCGGCAGATAGACGGAGTGCCTGAATTTGTCAACAGTGCTTTCCTCCAGTTGCTGAGCCTCTTTAACCAGGACTGTGAGAAGTTTTCTGATGCAAACACGACTTTTTTCTCCACCCTGCTTCAGCGAACCATGAAGCTGCCTTGGGAGACCAGAGCTCTGTATCACCGCCTCGGTGCCCTGCTGCCGTACCTGGGCACTGACACGGTGAGGTTTTGAGTTACTAAGTCCTCATTCATGTTTTGATTATAATTCGTGACCTTAATTCTAGTTCATGTCACCATCAGGTGCTGGACCAATACCCCGAGTTGTTTGATCACCTTCTGAAGTGTTTGTCAACCAATCACCTGTCCCCGTGTGGATCAGAGCTGTATAAATGTCTGATCCAGCAGCAGAGGAGAGAACTTTGTGGAGGATCACAGAACTCCTCCTGTCCCACTGAGGTGGATCTGGCTAAGCGCTGGGCGAAGCGTTGGCAGCCTTTTGTTCTTGAGGCTCTGAGGTCAGATGTGACTCTCCTACAGAGCAGCAGCTCATCACACCTACTGCCCGCCACCTTCCAGGTTTTCCCCTCTGCAGTGGACCTCCTGCTGGCCTCGCTGGACCCTCAAACACACCGCCACCTCCGCGCTTGGACTTGCATCCTGAGCTGCTACCGAGCTGTCACCGGCTCTTCTCCGTGGTCTCTTCAGGGCGGTTCCACCATGGAAACCCTGCAGGTCGCTCTGAGGTCCGCAGACGATAAAATCCGCCTTGCCGCTCTCAGTCTGCTCTGCTGCAGCTCAAAGACCAAAGACGCTCCAAGCAAAGAGGAGCTGGTGATACTGAGGGGGTTCATTCCTCAGAACCTAAACTGTGAGTCCTCGTTGTTTCGCCAGGGCGTTCAGGCCAGCATACGAAAGTTTCTGGTTCGAATCAGAGATGGCTGCTTGGCACAAATCAGAAGAGCAAAGAGCAAAAAGGACGAGGACGCTCAAGAGAGGATGCAGAGTGTCCTAGAGCAGATCGGTGAGGACATATTTTAGATATGATGGTTTGCTTTGAAAAACTGTACAATTTGTGTTAACCAAAAATAAACAAATAGCTGACGACTGATTAAAGATTATTAATCCAGAGCTTTGATCTTTCCTCTTCCTCGCTGCTTGGATCTCGTTGGTCTTCTAGAGTTTGTGGAGTGGTTGAGTCAGCTTCCATACAGCTTTCTAACCCCGGGACACAGTTATCAGAGGAAGAAGACGGTGCTGCTGCTGCTGTCTGCAGTGCTGGAGACGTGCACGGACACCTGGAGTCCTGACAAAAAGAAGGGACAACCCCCAGGTATGTCTGACGCCGCCAGGAAGTCAGGAAAACCTAGAGGAGCAATGTTCTTGCTGTGCGTTTCATTTCTTCGCCGTAATGTTGCGTTTTTGTGGATAAATGCAGAAATCATTTCCTTTCTTGAACTCAGCAAACATGGGAGCTCTTATTGCCTGTGCGAGGCAGAGAGGATTGTGGGATTTCTTCAGCAGGACGAAACAGTTAGTTCTCATCAGCCGTCTAGAAGATTCTACAAATGAGGTAGCAAATGTTCCTCGCCTGATCATTTATTTATTTATTTATTAACAGATAGAAGTTTAGACCTGAAAACGCTTCTTTCCTCAGATTCGGGAGCTCTCCTCAGAGCTGCTGCTGAGGTTTTTTCCATCCACCTTCCCCGAGGACGTCATTGGAGTGTTGGACACGAGGACCAAGCAGCTTCTGTGCAGCCCGCGGGTCCAGGAGGCTCAGATGGGAGCACTGATGATGAAGGTTCTCATCCAGAAGTAAGCTTCCCCTCCTCTCCCCATGTTTGGAGCTGGATGCGTTTTAGGTGACGGACGCTCGACTCTCCCTGTAGATCGGGACGTCGGTGTGAGGCCGGCGGATTGGTGGAGGAGCTGGAGGTGCACTATCTGACAGCTAAATCAGACACGATGCTCGCCGCGCGAACCAAACCGATTCATGGTGAGTTCCGCTCCACAAACGTTCATCTAAAATAATCTTAAACTCTTTCATTCTTGTATTTTATCCTCTTGTCATATGTTGCAGGTGTGCTTTGTGCCCTGCGGAGGTGTTTGCTGGAGACACCTGAGCGTGTCTGTGATGCTCTCGACCACAGCGTGATGGAGAAGATGCTGGGCCTCCTGGAGGACATCTCTTTGCTCCTGATCACTGTTCTGTATGGGGACAGTGACACCTGCAACTCAGAAAAATGTAATCCCGCACCCCGCACAAGTAGTTCACTCTATTATTAGATTATTTGTCATGTGTCTTCCTCTCTCAGCAGAGGTTGTGCAATCCACAACCTCTCTCCTCCATATATCTCAGACCTTGTAAGTATTCACACCCCATCCCGTTCTCTCAGATCTTCTTCTTCCATCCATCTTGCGGTTCCTTCTGCCCGTCTCACTACCATGGGGAGCAGAGCTTTCAGCCGCTCTGCTCCTCGTCTCTGGAACTCACTTCCCCCAGACATCAGGAACATCGACAGTTTTACCCTTTTCAAAACAAAACTCAAAACACACATGTTTAAATCTGCCTACAACCTCTGATTTTATTGAACTGTTTCTCTCTTTGTTTTGTGTTTTTCTTGTTTGGGTTTTATTATTGTTTTATTGTATTTTATTACGTGTTTTCTGTCAAGTGACCTTGGGTGTTCTGAAAGGTGCTTTTAAATAAAATGTATTATTATTATTATTATCTCTCAGATGCTCCGCCTTCCTTTTGTGACATGGGAAACGCCATCAGCTCTCTGATATCCCAGCAGCCCGGAGGCGGAGCAGCAGATGAAGAGGACTGTGTTTTGCTGTCTGAGGAACACAGTCTTGTTCTCACCTGCTGCTGGGTTTCTCTTAAGGTGAGGCAGATCCGCATCACCGCGCATCAATGTTTTAGCTCGGTATTTACAGATTTTTGTCATCGTTTTAGGAAATAGGGATTTTCTTAGGTGCTTTGGTGGAGAAAGTTCTCACGGAATCCAAAGAGGGTGGACGGTGCCTTCTAACAAAACCGGATTTATCGAGAGCGGCAAACGTCTTCAAGGATATTCTTCTCAAATGTCGCCATTGGGTAAGGAATTGACCACCTATTTGAAGGCAAGAATTTAATGTTTTCTTCTAAATAGTGTATTTTTGACCACCAGGGTGCAGTAGAGGGCTGCTGTGCAGGATTCACAAAGTTCTGCGCGTCCCTGCTAAGCAGCAGCGACACACAGATTAAAGAGATACCAGCTCAAATGCTGGAAGAGGTGAGTGTTGTAAAGAAACACAGTTCTAGAATGCGTGTTTATTCGTTTATGTATCTCCTTCTCTTTGGTTGAAGGGTTTGCAGGTTGTGCGGTGCCCTCGCTCTGCGTCCGTGACCCGACGGGCTGCAGGACTTCCTGTTCTGATCCAGTGTGTTCTGTCAGCGGAGGACACCAGTAGATCCAGGCCGCTGTTAGCCTCCAGTATGGAAACCTTGATGCACACAGCAGCAAGTCCCCTGGATCCGAACTGGGACCAGACACGGGACCTGCCACAGGTGTGCACACACACACACACACACACCAGGGTATCTGCAGGTCCTTAAAAAGTCTTAAAAAATCTTAAATTAGCTTTTCCAAATTTAAGGCCTTAAAAATCCTTAAAAATGACAAATAATCCTTAAATAGTTTCCAAAGGTCTTAAATTACCAAAGAACCAATAAACATGATTATTTTATTTCTATGAAATTTTCATGAATTTCTAGTTAGTTTGGCATTTTTTGTGTATGATATTGACATAAGCGGAACCGTACACATTCAGTTGGTTGTGAAAGGGAGCTGTTTTTAGATGAGCATGCTAGTGGGAGTTTGCGCCATGGGGAAGTGCAACATTAATGGTAACTGGATGGCTAATCCCACGTTCACGACGTGGTTAGCACCGGTTCCAGGCAATAGATGGAAATTATAGCTTAAATTTAATTTAAAAATAGCTTAAATTTGGTCAAAGTGGCCTTAATAAAGGTCTTAAAAAGTCTTAAATTTGGCTCCCTTAAACCTGCAGATACCCTGACACACATCAGCAGCCACACCACCAAATGGACTGATAGGATGCATAGGATCACACACACACGTCCTCTTCTCTTGCAGGTGTGTGCGGTCCACACGCTGCAGGCGCTGGTACGTGGAGCTGCTCTGGGAGCGGCCGTCCTTCAGTTCGCTCCGGCTGTCGTCATGTTGTCACTCGCTCAGCTCAGTTCTCCCTGCTGGGCGATGAGGAATGCTGCTCTGCAGCTTTACAGTCAGACAAACTAATTTCTAACTTTTATTTATCTGTCTGTTATTCTCTCACTTATTTGCATATTGTTGTATTTCTTTCAGTGCTAAAAGGAAAGTTTATCTGTGGCAATGAACTAAATTCCGTTTTTAGGTTCTGTTTGCTCGCGGATGCTCGGCCAGCGCTGCAGTAGCGAGGACGGAGTTCCACCCCAGCATAGCCTCTCTCCAGATGCTTTCTTCTTCCATTATCCCGCTCTCGAGCCCTTCCTCCTGGGCGAGCTGAGGGGGGCGGCGCAGAACCTCCAGGGTCCGCATCACGGGGCCAAGCTCCGCCTCCAGCCCTCGCTTTACCCCATCCTGACCCTGCTGGCCCAACTCCAGCCAGGCATCCACGACTCATCAGAGTAGTTACTGCCTCCATCTCTTTATGAAGTTTAAATTAGAATCTCTTAAACACTGAAATGTAAAGACCTGCGGGAACATCAGAGTTTAAAAATGAATCTGCTTTGCTTTAATTTCAGAACTTTGTTGGACTTCCTGCCTCCATTGCTCCAGCTCTCAGCGAGTCCCATCTACGGTGTGAGAGTGATGGCCTCCAAAGCTCTGGTTGCCATGACGCCCCCCTCTAGGTACACAGACATCCTCCTTAACCTGAGTGCTCAGCTGCCCAGATCACAACAGGAGTGCTGCAGCCACAACCAGCTGCACGGTCAGCTGCTGCAGATCAGAGCAGTCGTAGACCGAGCCCTCTGCTCGCACAGGTGAGACTTTTAAAAGAGACGATTTTTGACTTGGGTTAGGTTAGATTTCTGAGCATCTAGTGTGCTTTTAATCTGCAGTGACATCTCCAGTGACCTGCATGTGGTCATGACCAGGGTCCAGACCTCAATGTGGTTGGTGACCGGAGCTCAGCGCTGCCCCCTAGTGAGAGCTGCTTACATCAGCGTGGTCGACTGTCTGAGGGGATGTTCCTGTGACAACTTCCTGTCCCAGCTTAGCGACAGACTCATCCATGACCTCATCATGCCTCAGGAGGGACTCCAGGTAGGTTACAATCATATATCAACATGTTTATTTGTTGAATTTTTACCCTTTAATCTATTCCATGAATAAACAAACAGAATGAGTGTTCAGTCCAATCGACATGCATTGTCAGTCTGGCATACGCACATTACAGGTTATACCTGTCTGACAGCACATCTGTCAGACAGGCACACGCCAGCAGAACGTTATTCACTTTGTTTTAAAGGGGCATTATGGAAGTTTGACAGCCAAAACATGTATATAAATAATAAATTTCTTCTTCATACATTCTCCTGCAATGCCCTGGTCCTGTAGAATGAGCCCTGGCATTTTTACTGTGATTGCCTGTTTTTCTGTAAAATCACAGAAAAAGAGAGCTGCTCGGGTCGAGCAGGCTGCTTCATGCGCGTTCACGCTCAGGCATCGCCCGTAACATTTGCTATCCGTAGCTTTAGCAGCAGAGAGTGAGGTAGTGCCAACTCAGCGACTTTGTCGCTGTTCCTAACGCCTAGCGATGATCCTAGCTACATTTCTGAGGACGCTTAGCTACTTTCTTCTAGAAATTTCCTGCAAATTAGCAACAAAATAGCCATTTTCACTCCGAACTGTTCTTTGAACGTTGTTTCAGCTGTCATCAGGAATATAAATATTACAGATACAGAAGATGTCACTAGTGCTATAGCTCATCCAGTAAGACGGGCGGACTCCCGTGCGGAAGACCTGGGTTCGATTCTGCATGTGAATATTATTTTTTTAGAGTTTCTTTTTTACATTAATGGTATATTTTTTTACGGTAAAATGCCCAAATTTTTATTTGAGACTCGCCGAACGGCATTGAATTCACAGATAAAAAGATGTGAGTTCAACTTTCATTTTGGAACAATTTTTCAAGCAAGGGAAGGGAATGATCTGAGCATGCAGGAGGACTGACCCATCATAAACCTTTGTCGGCTGTGCTGAAGAGAAAGGTACAGAACCAAATTATTTAATTAAATAGCTGCACGTTCTCCTGTCCTCTGGACCACACACACACACACACACACACACACGGGACTGTCTCAGCTGTTATTTTCGTTAAGGAGTGTGCACGTACAGCATGCGCGCCTCGTGCACGAGCCTACTATTGAAGCTGCCATTACGCTTTTGGCCAGAGGGGGCAATCGCGAGCATAATTCAAAACTCCGTAAAGTCCCTTTAACAACCGTATGACACCCTGATGGGTAAGTTTAGCTGTCAGACACCAATACATCTTTTTAACAACCATACAACACCCTGACTTGTCAAGTTGGTATTTTTTAAAGTTTTATTTTCTAAAAGTTTTTTTACAATTAGAAGGTGGTGAAATAAGAATGTGTGGTACACATTCATCAGTTCATTTTAGTCAATGACAAAACATTATGAACACAATCAAAGTTTCCTTGTGCTTTGCCGTCTGCATGCTGAACTGATGGCTCCTCAGAACCTAGCGGAGGTTTAGATGAATGCGCATCAGCTGCAGGTATGCTGCTCTGATGTGTATGGTGCTCTGTCAGAACATGGAGAGTTTCTCAGTAAAATCTAGACGTTTGGACTCAACGTTCCACTTTAAAGATAACCAGCAGCGACTTTCGCAGCGTAATGATTGTTATTTTTCCACATTGCTCAGACTGAGTCAGCAAATTTTTTGACATCACGTTTCATTTTAATCATGAACGTTTGTATTGGTGCTCAGAGTCACAGCAGAGATACTGAGCTCCGTCACTCAGATCCTACTTTCAACTCAACAAGTTCCCTTCCTCAGCCTTGCTGCAAATGTAAAAGTCTGCAACTTCAAATCAAAAATAACCTAAATTCAACTGTTTTGATTATTGAACAGGTTGGGTTGTCCTCCTTCTACGGAGAAGCTGTCCGCTTCCTCTGCGCGGATCCAAAGTGGGCTTGTGAAGCCTGGAGAAGCTTCTCTGCAACCAACCTCGACGTGAAGCTCTCACTGGTGGCTTCGTTGCTGGAGAGGTCGGATTTGCAGCAGAAGGGCCAAATAGAAGTGGTTCAGATGGTGCTGCAGGTAAAAGACCCCCCCCCCCCCCCCCCAGCCTCATGACCCCAGTGCAATAAAACAACAATATTTTCAATCAATCAATCAAACTTTATTTATATAGCACGTAATCATGCAATACATGCAACTCAAAGTGCTTAACAAATTAAAAAGGCCCCGCATAACCACATTTCCTCCCATCCCCAGAATTTTAAAAACATTCTGACAATAAAAACCCCTTCACAACACTCATCCTCCAGCACACACACACACACACACACACACACACACACACACACACACACACACACACACACACACACACACACACACACGCTGGGCCGCCTTAACCAGCTGATAGGCCCCAGGGCAAGAAGGCTCAGTAGGCCCCCACAACCCTTAAAATTTCCTTTACACACACCCACACACGCAGCCACACACGATAGGCTGAGATCAGATGAGCCAAACCAGCTAAGATAAGGATAAGGAAACGCCATCAGGGGAGCCATCCGCCCCGACAGCAGCAGCCGAGGCACCGACACAGGGCGCCCAGGGCAGGGAGGGTGGAGACCCCCACCCAGGCACACCTGGAAAGCACCCAGGCCGCCACAGCCGACCACCGCCCCCAGGGCAGAGGGCTCCCACAGAGGAAACACTGGAAAAAGGTTCAATTAAGGTTAAAATATAAAATCATAAGAGCTAAAATGAGAATTGTAATATAAAAAGTTATGTAGATATTAAAATAATGTTGATCATAAATCTATGGTAAAAAACTGTTTAAAAATGGCACATATAAAGAAAGAATACATAAAATAAACAAATAGATGAATAACCTAATTAATTAATTTATTTAAAAAGTGATAGTAATCAGTTAAAAGCTAAGCTAAAAAGATGGGTCTTGAGCCCGTTTCTAAAAACACGAACGATTTCTACGGCCCTGAGGTCCCCTGGCAGCTCGTTCCAGAGGCGAGGACCGTAGTATTAGAAGGACGTCTCGCCTAGAATATGTGTCCTGACTTTAGGGATGGCTAGGAGACGGCTGCCAGAGGAGCGCAGAGACCGCATGGGTTCATACGGTATAAGCAGTTCTGAAAGATAAGAAGGCTCAAGACCATTAAGACACTTAAAAACCATTAAAAATATTTTAAAATCGATCCTGAAACATACGGGGAGCAAATGCAGTGATTCTAAAACTGGAGAGATGTGCTCCCACTTCCTTGTCTTCGTCAGGACGTGTGCTGCTGAGTTTTATAGAAGTTGTAGACCTGAAATCCTCTTTTTAGGAAGACCAGAAAGCAGGGCATTGCAGTAGTCTATCCTACGGGTGATAAAAGCGTGCATCAGCGTCTCCGTGTTGGCCCGAGAGAGAATGTGGCGGACTCTGGCGATGTTCTTTAGATGATAAAAACCTGTTTTGGTGATATTTTTAATATGATGTATAAAAGTCAGCTCAGAGTCAAAGATGACACCCGGGTTCTTCACGTGTGAAGATGGATTAAGAGACAGTGATTGTAATTTTGGTAATAGTTTCTCTCTCTGGGCCTCAGGACCGATAACTAAAACTTCAGTTTTGTCCTGGTTGAGCTGGAGAAAGTTTTCTGCCATCCAGGATTTGATGTCTAAAATGCAGTTAAAACGTGTGTCCATTGGCCGTGTGTCATCAGGAGACACAGAGATGTACAACTGTGTATCATCAGCATAACTGTGGAAATTCACCCCATGTCTCCTGATGACACTGCCACGAGGGAGCATATAAATCAGTGGCAGCTTAAGGTGTGACAAAAGGTGAATTATTTACATTTAATTTAATGTTTTCTTAGGTTTAAGTGGTTTTTATTTATTTATTTTTTACTTTCTACTTAATTTTGAGTATTTTTGAGCTTTTATTTTCTCTAACTGATGGCTTTTGAGCACAGAGTCTAAATATATTAATTTAGTAGTGTTAAAGTTCACTCTCACAAGTGTGGCTGTGTGGTAAACACACTCCCAAAGCTCCATATGATGCAACCTAGTTATCTGTAACAGTAGGAAAGATGGACTGCTGTTTGATTTACAGACTGTTTCTGTGATGTTCTGTCTCTAGTCCCACCTGAAGGAGGCGTTGCTGAGCAACAGCGTGGAGTATCGCACCGCCTTCCTCGCAGCCCTGGTCAGAGTGATGGCCGACTCTGATTCACCCCAGCGTCCACCACAGTCGGAGCCTTTCCTGGCTGAGTGTCTGGATTTGTTGCTTAAGGACTTAGAGGAGCAGAAGGGTGGGCCAGAGTTTCTGTCCCAGGCCCTGAACGCCTCCAGTCTGCTGCTTTCCCGAATGCCAAACTCCAGGTTTTTGTCCGCTTTCGTCTCTTTTTAAACAAACTATTTGGAGTTCCAGTCCGTAACTTTCTTCCTCCATTCTGCTGATCAGCCTAAAGTTATCCGGGCTCCAGCGCTGGTGTGGGATCCTTGAATCCCAGCGGTCGCCAGACGCCCCTGAGGTGCTTAGGATGGCGTGCAGCGAAGCTCTCTGTGTGGCTGGACTTCCACTTATCAGCAGCATGAGGGAACAAAACCCTCTCTCTGTTATCATCATGAGGTATAAGATAATCAGATCTATAAAACTTTGTTTTATTCTAAACAAACATCATTGTTTTCTATTGTAGGCTGATCAACACAGGCCTTTACCTGCTGCAGGACCAGAACCAGCAGGTGAGGCTGAAAGCGGCACACTTTTCCTCTCTGCTCCATCGTGCATCAGGAGGAAACAACGAGGGGAGCGCCTCCTATGTTCAGGTCAACCTGGCGCTGCCGCTGCTCCTGGAGATGCTGCTGCAGGAATGCTGGGAAGCTCCCGGCACGCTGGAGGTGCTGCTATCCCACCTGCCTCCGTCTGATCTCAGACCAGTGCTGGCAGAAGCCTCAGCAGCAGGAGGGTGTGTGAGCCCCCTGACTCTGTCTGATCTCGCCGACTGACCCGACTTCATTTCTCACCTGTTATTGTGGCTCTTTATACTCAGGTGCACCAACTTGTATGAGCAGGATGAAGCCAACGTGTTTGCAGAGCCGTCTGTCATGTCTGCACACGTGCTGCCTTACCTGCTGCAGCTGGCAGAAAAATCCTCTCAGTCCTCTGTTTTGGCACAGACTCTACATTCATGGGCTGAAGGGAACGCTGCACAGGTGCTGGATCACCTGACCGTCTGTGAAAAGCTCCAACCAGGTAACACGTTAACCTTTCATTCTCAGTCACCTGCCTTTAAAAGTCTTCTCTCAGCCTTCTTGTGACTTTTAAATCTCTTTCTAGCCGAGACGCTGACCCCCTCTTGGCTGGCTCTCCTCACTGAACCCCGTTTCCACATCACCCTGTGTGGCCTGCTCTCCAGGGTCGCTTTTCTGCCCCGCCTCCAGGAATTATCCGCTGGTTCGGAACACTTTTGTGATCCTTTGTCTGTGCAGGAACGTTTACAGGACGTTTGCAAGCTGCTGGGTCAGAACGGTGTTCACTTTCCATCTGATTTAACCGCTGCTGTGGCAGGAGGCCTGCTGGAGTGATGGCCGGGGGATCCCAATGCAGAACTTTTGACCGATATGGGCCTAGAAAGCTGTAATATTTAGTATTTTAGGAGCTTGGATGAAAAATGGCAGCTGTTTTTATTAAGTCTGCAGGTCATCATCATTTAAAAGCTCCATGAATTTATTTAAAATACTCTTTTAGATGCAGAGATGCAATCAGAGCAGCCGGCTGGTACAGTGATGTAATGCTACAGCATCTGGAAAAGCCGCCCCAGGAGGCGTTTGGGTTAACTTTCCATTAGAGGCCTTCTGAATGGATAAGTGTCCATTTTCCAGCCACATGAGAGCTGCTGATGCGTGAGTGGATCTGATTGAGAGCTGGTTTATGCTCCACACACACTAAAGCAGTCTGACATCACCGGGTTGCACCCTGGTGGTGTTTAGGGTGGGATGATGTGAAAGGTTGCTGCTGTGGTGTTATCTCAGCAGATCCAGCAAACAGGTGCATCTGTAATAAACAAGGACGTCATCATCTACATTTTTTGTTGATATGTACCCGTTTTTGCACCTGGAAAACTTTATTAATCTCTACATCAATTTCCTTTGTCTGTGCATTAGGTGTAGCAGCACTATAATCTGTATTAATCCATCAAAATAAGATCGTGTCAAAGTCAGGCCCCCACAATGCTGGTCTGAAATTGAAGCCAATGCGGAAGTGAAATAAATTGCAGTTCCACCCTCATCCACTAGGGGCTGGTGTCAGAAGCGAGCAAATCCTCATTGACTCCCATGTTAAAAATACCAATTTCACAGCAGAAATAAACATGTTTACAGCCTGGTTCCAAAACATTTTTTTGGTTTACTTGATCTAGTTTATACTCATGACAACTCTGATGGGGGTGAATTTTTTTCTCACTCTTCTGTTTAAGTGCATTAAAAGCCTAAAATTCTGTATAATTTGGATAAAAGTGTCTGCCAAATAAATAAACATATACACATAAACATGGTAAGCTATTAATTATTTTAAACCCATATGCTTAAGTAGTTCTTTGTATGAAGTTTTCCTCTAGGTGATCCTGAGAGGCTTGACCTTGCTGGGAGTGCTGGACTCCCAATTCACACTCCCGCTTGTGCAGTGACCACTTTGAGAGTCATCATTTCACCACGGACTCCAGGGTACACACACATTACTTCATGTTTTGGTTAAGATTGAAAAACGAAGAAGAAATTTATATACATATTTACAAGAAAGTAACATGACATCACACCTGTGCATCTAATCAACGCGACTCCCACACAATAGAGGCTAACGATGCAAACGAACCATGAGGAGGTAGGGAGGAGGTGTTCTGCAGGTGACAGTTTCTGCTTGTCACGCAACAATAGACAGCTACAATAAGATCGACCCTCCTATATTCATGAAACCAAAGGAGTCCAGTTGCCTTCATTCAAACCCAATTTGAATTACCATGCAGATGCCTCACTCATTCATTCCAGGTGTGTGACTGCAGGTAAACACTGGTGTTTGAAAGGAGGTTTGACCTAGGATAACCTTGGGAAACTTTTATTTATATATTTTCAATGACAGCAGCACATATATATATTTGCTGCACAAATATTTGACACCAATTTTGTTTGCTTAATGGGGGGAGGGGGTTGTTGACCTTTTGACCTTGAACCTTTCACTAATATCTTTAAAGCAAAATCAGCACAAACAAACTTTAGCAGTGCAAACCAGCACAAACATAGCACAAATGTTTGAGTCCAATTTTGTTAGATTTGAAGAAGGTGGGGGGGCCAACTTCACTTAGGTCCTTCAGACTCCTGTTTTCCAAACTCTCAGCTGGAAATCTCCACTCTTCTCTACTGCTACTTGATTCTGGCCACTCTCACTCAGGACGTTCAACCGGAAGCTCTCAACTGTCCACCTTTGGCTAAATGGCAACATTTTTTCAGTCTGGCTAAAAGTCGGTTTAGTCTGTCTCATAATCATGACAGTTGTGTCATATTGAGCTGCAGTCCTGGGGCTGGGTCTCAGTGTCCTGTGGCCCAGGACCTGTGTCAGCCCGGTTCTGGATGTGGCCTTGCTGAGTTATCTGTAGCAAGGAGCTCGGCCGTCTGGGAGGTGGTCTGAGTTGGTTCTGTGGTGGCTGCTGGTTTCCTGGTGCTCGGGGCGGTTCCAGAGTGCACCTGATCCTTGGAGGGCTCACACTTCACATCCCAGCACACGCACGAACACATGCCTGTTGATGTTTGTTGTTCATTGTTTACATGTTTAAAGTTGTTCATCCCACGTTTTCTTGATGATTCTTAGAAATGTTTTTTTACAGGTGCAGCAGCTGGTTGCTGTATTTTATGTTGGTTTCCTAGTTCCTATTCTAATTTGTATTGTATTGTGTATTTTGTTGTAAAGCTATTCTATTATTCAACTTTAATTCAGATATATTTTACCTTACTCTTTCCCAGTTAAATTTACCCTTCATTTTAATTCGTGGTGTACAGTTTTTTATTTTCAACTCTTAGGTCACGAGCAGTTGTGTAAGGCATTTCACTGCATTTCGTACTGTGTATGAATGTGTATGTGACAAATAAAATTTGAATTTGATTTGATAGTTGTTTTTATTTTTCTCTCTTATTTACTTGTTTGTCCACAATCAACCCTCTTTACTCCAGATTGATTCAGCATTTACATGCTAATGTGGCGATACATAACCCAAACCAATTTTACAATAACACACATTTTTATTCAAGGGGAACCTCGTACACAAAAGGCTCCTCTTGATAGAGCAAATCTGTTCAGCACCTTCTGACAGACAGACCACCCAGGACATTTATATATATATGTCAAAGGTCAAAGTCCACACTCAAGGAACCTAAAGCTGAAAAGAAAACCTGATGAAAATATGTTTTAAATTGACCTTTTTTGTAGATTTCTAATTAAATTTATCAAGAAAGAATTTTTTTTTTAAATCTTTGGGTTTTTTAAATCAAGTTTAAATTTAAAAAATAAATCTTCAGCAGCTTTAATTTAGCAGAACCGACTGAGTTTCTTGTGTAATTGAAGAAAATGACCTGGCTGGAGTAAAGCTTTTTCCATCGTACCTGATCTTACGTGGGCTCTCAGCACGCCTGCATCCCGCTTCTTTAATGATTCTCCATGGCAACGGGGAGCAGGGCTGAGTGCTGTGGGTACAGCCAGTGTAGTGACTGTGTGTGTGTGTGTGTGTGTGCGTGGTACGTCACAGCCACTATAATGAGGTGTGTGTGTGCACATAAATGCTGGCATCTGTGGACCATTTGAAGCATGAAAGTGTGTTTTTCCATCATTGTTTCAGGTCGCCTAGCATGAAAATGGTTAGAATGAAATGTTTTCATCATAGAATAAAATTTTTATTTTGATTTTTGACTTCAGGAAAAAAATCTGTTGTGTAAAACAACTTGACTGTAATAAATTCTTCATCTTTGCCTTTTTGCTGCACAAATCTTATTTTACCGGTTGCTGTTCACAGGGAATGGCAGTAAATCAACTTTTTTAAACTACAGAAAACAGTTTAGATGTTTGCTTTGATTTAAAATAATGTGAATGAGCTGAAATGTAGTTTATTTTTTCTAACACTCACTTGTAACATGTTATAATAAAAGTAAAACACTTCGTGCATTGGTAGATTTTAGCTTTAGGGACCATTTCTGCAGTAACATCACAGACAAATTATGTCCAATTTTTTACATTCGGAGATTTATTCTGCTGATTTTAGTCCATCTTTATATTCAAAAATAGTTTTAATTCATTCAAAGAACTTTCCATGACAAATAAGAGTCTTGAATTAAAGCAATATATCACCCCTGACTTTTCTCAGGTTGAATAAATCAGTAATGAGCCACCATAGGTTTATTTTTGGGGATTTTATTCACGCCAATGACTCGTTTAAAAAGTTTAATTATATGTAGATAATCACCTGACCCAACTGGTTATGAGGATCAACACGATCAGGCTGTGAAGTTCAGAGCAGGAGGGACAGATGTTGGCTGTTTGCTCTGCTGAGTGCCTGAAAACTGGATTAGCATCTTTCTGAAAAGTGGCTTAAGTGGGGAATGAATCTAACATCGCCTGGCCTCATTAGTGGGCCACACACACACACACACACACACACACACACACACACACACACACGCACGCACACACACACACACACACACACACACACACACACACACACACACACACACACACACACACACACACACACACACACACACACACACCCTTTGCAGAGTGCACTGTCTGAGGAGTAGAGCCAGCAGCAGGAGGGAAGAGGTCTGGCGGGTTGGAGAGGGAGCCTAGGAAACATACTGAGCCAGATTAAGTCAGATGGGAATTATAAATGGAAAGCTGTGACTCAGAGTATTTAGAAACAAAAAGGGAAAGCAGAGCAGCTATTTAAATACAAAACACAAAATGTTGTGGAAACTTCTTGAGCTGCAAAAAAGGAGGAAAACAGATGTAATTCCTACCTCAGCTCGGACAAAAATGAGAATAAACATCCTTGACTTTCCCTGATTCACCAAGGCTGCCTGCAGAGATGAGAGGCCAGAGCAGCTGATGGCTGTGAAGCTGGGGGAAGCTTTAGGACCTTGAGGTTTCCCATGGCAAACACCTCCTCTTCCTCCTCCTCCTCTTCCTCCTCCTCCATTGAAAGGCTGTTTACCAAGAGAGCAGAGCAGCTCTGACAAAAACAAGGGCTGTGGTTCAAAAGAGAGGAGCAGTATGCTTCGTGCATAGGCTCGGTCTCTAAACACCTACTCAGAAGCTTTCTTTTCATTATTTTAAGAAGAAGAAAGCCAAGATGTCTTCTGTAAAATCAACCTTTCAGCTGTTCAAAATGTTTTTCTTCCTGCAAGTTGTTTTCCTGAGCGTGGCCATTGTGGAAGGGAGCGCGTCCAGCAGAGATCAAACAGGTAAAGCTGCACCAAATCAGACTTTTTACGTGTTTGAGCACCTTTTCTGTGTTAAAAAGCAAAACATTTAAATAGCATGCCATTTTTTTCATCTTCTTTCTGATTGCATAGCATGTTAATGTAACTGTTTTTCTTCTAGACTGTGTGACATTCAGAGGAGTGGACTACAGAGGAGAACAACAGAAATCCTCCTCTGGTCTAACCTGTCTGAACTGGACCAACACCACCAGAGACTATGATGTTGAAACCCATCCTGATTCACTGACAGGTAAACATACAGATTGTTCTTTATTAGATAAAGTGGAAACGACCAGGATAACCAGCTCCAAACGTGTGCTGCTGAAACTAACTGATAAGATAATTGCATAAATGGTTTTGCTAACGCACAGAGCCATAAAGGCAGAGTTTTACAGCAGACACTCCAGATTCGGAGCGCCTGATTGATGTGTTTAGTGGCGTTAAATGGGCTCTTTCATGAAGCAGATGCTGCCTCCATTGTTTGTGCTCGTAGCAGCCTTTTCACAGGGCTGTGAGCATGAATTCTGTGTTTCAACCTATGGTTTCAACAAGGGATCAGGACCAAGCATTTGCTGTTTTTTCATCACCCCTCTTGTAGGTGGCGGAGATCACAATTACTGCAGGAACCCAGATGCTTCGGAGAGGCCGTGGTGTTACATTACAGCCCCTGATGGGACGATCCAGAGGCAGTTCTGTGCTATTGACACATGCACTGGTCAGTAAACGTCACACAACACAGATTAGTAATATTATATTGAAACTTTTGCAGCAACAGCAAATCAAAAAAGCAGCCATGGTGTGAACTCTTGTAACTCACCGGAAGCTCCCTAAAATACATTTTACTTTTGGTTTGAGTCCCATAAATACACCGTCAATAAACAAATCACCACAGGATCTGGATTACGGATCATTTACTTTTCCACCTCCTAATCCGGGTCAGTTGGTCTGAGTAAAAGGAGAAAGTGTTTTGCTCTTTATTTCCTGCTGGCAGTTGAAACTGGCAAAAGTCAAACAATAACAAAGCCAAGCACATGTCAGAGGGTTCAGGCTGAGACCCAGCCCCAGAGCTGCTCCCATTGGCCCAGAGCAGCCGTTTCCTCTTAGAGACAGCAGCTGATTGGCTGCTTCAATCCACAGCTCCATTGTTTTTAACTTGAGTAAAGTTCAGAAACGGCTCATAGGAGGAGGAAACTGAACAAATTAAAGAGCACATGTTGGCATCTTCAGCTCCCCTTTCCTGTTTTTTTTAACTAAAGCGTGCAGAACGTGTTGGTGTTGGCTGTTCGTGCAGGAAAAGCAGGTAGAGGTCAATTCTCTCAGCAAGTTTAAACCCAAAACTCACATGACTGCTCAATCAGCAATATTCCGACTCCACAAAGTCCAAATGAGGCCTTTCAATCTGAGATAATAAAGAAGATCTGCAAGTAAATATGAAAATGTAGCACTGAACACAGATGAAGTGCATCAAAGTCAAACTAAATCGAAAACTATTTTTTTCTAAGGACAATTTTAAAGGATTTCTTTTCATTTAAATAAAACTTCTTTGATAATTTCATACATTTTGCTGCTTTGACTTCCTTTGGGCCCTGGCGCCTCCCAATTGTGGGCCTTTGGAGTTTCATGTCCCAAGTGTCAGTGGTTGTTTGCATTCCCCGAGAGAAGGTCAGATGCTCTCCTAAAATAAAGTTCAAATATCATTGTATCTTAATTTATTACAATTTAAAATGGCCTTGTTTCCCATCTGGGCTGTTTGATTGTGGTTTTAGTTGTGTTTGGAGAATGTGGACAGTTGTAGATGTTTGGGACATGAAACTGTAGAGGCCCCCAATGGGGAGTGTTAGGGTAAAACAGGTAAAAGAACCGTTCAACCCAGAGAGTTTTGGTTGTCTCATGAGCAGCCACGCTGCTGCAGCCTAATGTTTCCTGTTCTGTGCGTCAGACTGGGCTAGATGTGGTTAAAAGTTCAGCATGGGTCTGAACATGCTCTCATGCGGTCTCTGTACCTGCAAAATGCTTCAGGGATCTTTGAAAAAAGCAAGGAAATTGTTAAAAATGAAACGTGTAGAAAACACGTGCTCTGACCTGGATTTTTCCTGGTGTGACTGCAGCAGCAGAGTTTTCCACAGTACTTTTATAATTCTGTCGTGTTGTGATGTCTGCAGACCAAAACTCTGCTGCACCAAAAGATGAAATCCCTACAGTGATCATGTCCACAGAGAGCCTCCAGCCAGCCACATTTGGAGCTCTTCAGGAGAAAGTTGCTGCTGTCCAGCCGGTGATGGGCATCAGCCAGCGGGTCCGAACAGGACCCAAACAGAAGAAGGACCTCGGAACTGCAGGTGCTTATTTTGACTCTTTTTGGTTGAACAGTTTGAAATGCACATGAACTAAAGGCCTGTTTGTATTGAATTTAGGCTACGTCCTAGGAATCCTCATGATGGCAGTTATAATTGTGATTGGAATCGGCATCACGTTGGGCTACTTCTATAAAAGGTCAGCGGTTTCCTGTTTTAGCTTGCTTGTTGGCCTAAATGGAATTTTTCTATAGTAAAACATGTCAGGAGGAGTTCTGAGCTGATGCTGCGTAGTTGAACCATCGGGAGTGTAGCCGTTAATTTGTATCAGTATCAACAGTGGCACACCTAAGGTATGGCAAGGGGGTCCTGAGGCACCCCTGGAAAATTGTTGGCCACCCCACTGCACTTGAAAATAACTTTCATGTTCACATAAACCACACATTCATCCTTTATTTGAAACAACAACGGGCAAATTGAACCGTTTTAAGAAGCTAAAACTATAAAGCTTTAAACAAAAACTGAAATTAATGTTTGAACTGTTGTCTTTTTTCTGAAATGTTCGTGTTGGATGCCTATTGCTTTATAATTGTCACAATCTGCCCCTGCCTCCCTGACTGTGTCTCTCCCCTGCCTGATTAGTCTTTATTGTTCTCACCTGCCCCGTGTTAATCCGCCCATGTGTTCCTGATTGTTTCCTTGAGTATTTATACCTCCCTTCTTGTTTGAGTCTTTGTCGGATCATTGTTTGTTGTCAGCGTTGTTTTGTTCTGTCGTTCCCGTTCTGCCATTAAAACCATTTTTACTTTATCCGAACCTGCATTTTTGCCTCCGGTCAGCTCCTCCACACTTGGTCCTCCGTCGTCCACACCCGCAACGTGACAATAATGACAAAGAATGTCGGAGAAACTCAATGGTACTCTCCCAGAGTTACCACATTGACCAATTTGGTGCCACCAGAAATTTTTAACTGGCCCTATGAAATTTTTCTAGGGGCGCCACTGAGAATCAAAAACTGAGAAAATCTTTAACCTCCTGAGTCCACATAGAACATTGGCTTCTTGCACTTAAATACTTTCTTCTTGTTAACTTAGACGTTTTTATTATTTTTTCGAGACACTTGATATTAACTTTAAGTTTCAAGTTTTTTCTTTTTCTTTTTTTTTTTTTAGAAATTTGCCAACATTTTTATTTCAACTTCTTAATCCAAGTAATATTTTGCTCACTTATTAATGAGTGTCGACTAATCTGCAATTGTTTTTTCTTTTGACCCTTCCACTGTCTTCGTGGGTGGCCCCGCCAGGAAAGTTGACCATTGAGCAGGGTTGATGGTTTATCCCTTAAAGTCCACCATCAATCCTGCTCAATTGTCAACTTTCCTGGTGGGGTCACCCATGAAGACAGTGGGAGGGTTAAATCACACTAAATACAAATTCGGATCTCAGGAGGTTAAACGTTTTATTCCCAACAAACGATGATGAACAAGTTGGCATAAACTGAATTTTTTTTCTAATTATTAAAAGCACCCAGAGGTGGGGTTATTGGTTATGTATCAAGCCTAAATGTGGGGAATGCAGCACGTCTGATTCTTGTTGCACAAAATGTTCCCGTATGTGATTAGCTGTGCCTTGACATCTGGTATTTTTATGAGGTGATCATTGATGAAGAGGAGAAGCGAATGACGTCACAGGGTTTATAAAGCAAGACCGTTCTCTTCTCCAGACGTTTCCAACTCCTTTATAGTGCGGAAGATGTTTTAAAACTGATTCCTTTCAGGCTTCTAGTCCCTTAAAGCAAATGACTCCACCTGAGTTTCCTTTAGCCTGCTTCAAATGCACTCAGCCAGGCTTTGGATAGAGATAAAAAGATGAAGGAAACCACTGCCGTTCTCGTTTATGAGTTAAAAATTCAGCTCGAGTGCAGCGACTGGAATAGAAGGGAACAGAGCAAGCGTGGGCTCTTTGCTAGGCAACCGGCTGCAGGACCTTTCTGGAAGCAAAAAGTGCGTCACACAGTGACGCAGAGTTGCTTTTCACAGCTTCCTGCTACCTTGTTGTGTTGATGTAGGAGCTAATATATAAATATATTTCCATAACACTGAATCACTTTTGTTTTTAGAGCCCGAGACCTGAAGAAGCAGCTGGATCAGCGAGGGTATGAACGCGAGATGCAGAGGATCACCCTGCCCCTGTCGGCCTTCTCCAATCCCACCTGTGAGCTCATAGACGAGAACACCATCGTCATCACGGCGGCTCACGAGTCCAGCCCCGTCCAGGAGGGAGATGACCCTCTCATGGGGCAGCACGCCGGCACTCCAGGAGCATGAGGGCCAAGTTCTCCAACAGGATTGTACGTTAGTAGTGGACTAAAACATTCCCACCTCCTAGTTCCTCCTCTCCGAGTCCCTGACTGAGAAACTTTGAGTCCCTTTTTCATTTTTTGATTGTTTTTTTTAACATGTGACACTTTTAGGATCAAACAAATGATGTCGTCTTTAAAAAAACAAAAAACAAATATAAAAATGAGCAGTCAGATGAATTTTGACATATCAGTGTTTGATGACTCCAAATCTTCATGAGGTGATGATTGGAATGAGGGAATGTCCACATTTTTCCCAGGAAGGTTACCCAAGGTCTCTGATTTGTGTCCATGGAGGAAGACGAGGAACGTGTTTGTACAGAGACCGTTTTATCCTGGAGGGACACACTGGTGGGACCAAATGCGTGTCCTTAAACAGTTATGCTCTTCTGTTAGAGGACGCATGAAGTAAACAGGAACCGTAAAAGACACGAGGGAAATCCTCCCGCTCGGAAACTGCCTTAAAGCATGACGCTCTGAATGTATCCTGTTTGTTCTCCTCTGGGCTGGAACCATTTTTAAAAGCCTTGTTGGCAATCGTCGGCAGTAAGATGTGAAAAGAGGTCTTGTCTTTTTCTTTCACAGGTTAAGTAGTGACAGGAATTATATAGAAGTGCTCTCAGGATGCGAGGCACAATGGTTCATCTTCAGGGCAAAGCAGTCATGGCGTTTGTGCAGAAAACTGCTCCCTTAGCTTTGAGTATTCAGACATCAGAGTTATGCACTGAAAACACCAGAGAAGGTCTGTTTAAAATCATTCGCAGTCATGAATGCATGTGCATGAGGTGCTGCTGTATTAAAGCAGAGCTACAGTGATACATGCTAGTGTGTATATAGACACCACCACACGGGGACAGCTTTATAGGTTTTATTTTCGTTACGCTGTGTTTCCATTTTATTGTTTGGGATGTTATGGATTCACATGTGGTTTTTGCTGGACCTTCATCACTGGTTGTTCTCAAATTTTTTTTCATTTCAAGTGTTGGATGTAATTGTCCTTATAAAATACTGATGTTCAGTAATTTTCTTCTTTATGGATATTTTCTTGTTCAGATTGAAATAAAACGGACACCAAAGTGTAACGTGTTTGGTTCAAAGCAATTAAATGATTAAAAAAATTAAAGCTTACATTCAGTATGAATAAGGGGTTAGATCATGAGGATTTGACGCCCCCTAGTGGATGGTTTAATATCACCATAATGCAGGAAATACATTTCAGATTTTTTCCATGTTTATAAATAAATGTGAAGTATTTAACATCTTATTTATTCATCTTAATAGATCATTAATTATATTCACAATGCTAAAACTATATACACACTGATTTTTATGTAACACGCTTTCATCTGGAAAATAATTGTGATCAATAGAAATGAGGAGATTCTGTAGTTGTGAGGATCCAAAAAGGTTTTTGTTAAATCTTTTTATTTAAACCTTTGACTGTTATGTCAACCAATTGGTAGAGAACATTTTAATTTCCCTACACCTTATGGAAGAATGCACTAAAAAAAATACAACTTTAAAAACTACATTTTAAAATATACTCAAGATTACCTAATATATTATTCTGACTGAATCAGTGTAAAAAAGCATAAAAGAAAAATAATGTCATTTAATTTCTCGTTGTGGAACTTAGGTGCAATAAACTAACAGACTGATCTATTCTGAGACTAAAATGATCCGATTATAGTTTTTGTGACAGGTTATTCAGCTTTGACCCTATATTGTAGCAGAAAATATTTTACAGTCATGAATAACTGAGCGGCAATTAAAAAAACATTTTTAGAGAAGGTTTATTCATGAAACACTACAGTGATATAAATAAAAATGGTTACAGTTGGCTTTCAGTACCTTGCTTAAGCAAATAGTTGTCGAAATGTCTAAAAATCTACAAAATCCCATCAGAAAATAAAATCCAGTTAGTGAAATTGTATGTACACATCTATTTACATCACTTAAGGGGGGGAGGGGGGTTAGTTTAAGAGTCAGATCTTGTAAGAAAACTCAAAACCACTTTGTCCTTTTAATTCATCCCCCCCCCCCCCCCCCCCCCCCCCCAAAAAAAATATAAAAAGACAAAAGTGAGAGCAGTGGTGCTTGGGAGAAGAAAACACCTCGATTGAATCTCTGAACTTTTCCGGGTCACAGTAATCGTTTTCCTTTTGTATTTTAGAAATATTTAAATTTCCCAGTGAGATCAAGTGCTTCAGTTTCTGTCAAAAGATTTTATTTCCTGGCTCTTGCAATAACTTTAAGTATGATTGTGTTTTTACAAAAGTCAGGAGAACTTTGAACATAAAAAAAAACATCAAAAAACATAATTGCTACATTTCAACTATTAAATATACAAAAACCACTTTTTGAACAGTTTGAAATAATATCAAGCTTCTGGTCCTCCTGGATAACAGTGCTGTTGTGTCCCGGGTGCATGATGTGAAAAAAAAAAAGCTAACAACATCATTAAAACTTGTAGTCGAAGGGAGAACAGCCTGCCCGTCAGGGAATATCGCTTCATTTATTATTTTTTATTCTGAGTTTAAGTCACTCCTCTTTAAAGACCAACTCCAGAAGACAAAAGCTGCCGTCACATCAGGACTACAGTCTTAGAAACGTCTGTGTCGACTGGTGAAGGACCAGTTACGGGTTTCTGCTGTAAACATTAAAACAAGTTCTGTGCTGTTACCACAGTAAAAACAATGTTAATAACTTGAAATGTGTGTTTCTGCCCTCGTTGCAGTTCACTGGCGCTCACAGATTTTTGGTCCCATACAAGGTAAATAGTCCAGCAACCTCAGGTGATCCAGTTCTAACGACGCTCAGGTTCAACACCTTGTTCCTGTTTTTAACCCACAGTTTTAGTGCAGCAGTTAGGAGGCGTTACAAAGGTAACAAACATAACAGGTTAAACAACTATGTGCTATTGTCTGCCATGCTTGTGCAGTCTGGTGAGGCTGCTGTGGAAATCAGTGGCTCGTTTGTGGCCTGAATCAGATCGTTAGACCAGTAGAGTCGACTCAAACTCTGGTGCAGTTCATCCAGTTCGGCTGGCAGAGGGATTCCCAGCTCCTGGTTCAGGGAGAGGGCTTCAAACCAGTCCTCCAGTTTCTGGAACGGTGGACTGAGTAAGAAAAAGACAAACACATAAACATCAGAGAGAACAAACAAAAGGATGTAAGGTTAGAACCAGACGGGCGAGCTTGAGCGAAACACGAGGAAGCGATCCAGCAGCAGAGGCGTGTCTGAGGCTCAGGTGGCTTCTGAAAGTGTTTGTTTCCTCTAAGATGACCCAAAGGTTCAACAGCAGCCGACAAAACGCCACCAAAAATAAAACGGAGTAAAACTATGTGTCCAACTGTGTGAAAAATAAAACAGAGCAAGGGAAACAAAACAGGGATTTTCTGTTTTCTGAAATGTTTTAGTCTTTTGTCTTGTTCAGTGTTTGAGGGAAAAAAACCTAGAAAAGATACACCTCTAAGATCTGCTGAAATATTTCTAAATACATCCATAACGGGAACTGTTAGGCCTGTTTCCACCGTAAGAACATCCAGGTAACTTTACTGGACCTTCACGGCACGTGTCTTCTTTCCTAAAGGACCACTTTCCAGACCAAAAGAGTACCCGAACTGGGATTAGAACTCAGACACGGCCCAGCAGAGTCGCTCGGCAGGACTAGTGGTTAACTCATGCCGATTGGTTGTTACTCAGTAGGAGATGATATCAGCAGACGTCGCCAAACAACCGCCATGTGTAAGGATGGAAGAGTTGCTGATGAAGCAGAACGGAGGGAAAAGAAACTAAACAGCATTCAGACTGCTTTAAAAGAACTGTTTTTAAACTCCCAGAGCCAGGAAATGCAGCAGAAACACCACACGTTCATGGTGCTTTGTTATCTACTGCAGAGCACCGTAAAAACAGAGTTTCCTTTATTCACTGAACGCCACTTTTTACATCACAGAACCACTCTCTGTCCCCCAAATGGATTAAATTATGGTGTAGTTTCACAGAATAAAACTTTAAACCTCTTAGCATGCCAGCGCGCCGCCCATGGGACAAAACCCCATTGCATTCATTAAACCTGGAAATTTAAGGGGTTAATCTGACCTTGTTCTGACGGAGCAGCATACATGCAGTTTATGCAAATGCATGCACATTCGCATTCATTTAAACCTCTGCTATGTTCTGAGGAGCCGCCAGTTCAACATACAGCAAACTATGAGGAAATCTAGGGATGGACAACATATCGGCATCAATATCGGTATCGGCTGATGTTAGTCATTTTTTAACATATCGGTATCGGTTCGATAAAAAAAAAAAAAAAAAACGGGCAGATATTGTCAACTGATATTTTTTCCATCTTGTCATCGTTTGTTTGCCTGTTTCAGAGGGTGGTGATGTGTATTTGTTAAGTCATGTCACAGTGATTGTAATCATCTCACAAGTGTAAGTGTGTGTGATGTGTGTACATAACCTAAATTCAGCTTTAATCATTTAATTCCATACAAAATCTGCTGATTTTAGAAGCATTAATGTCAGTATATCGATATCGGCAAATATCGGCTATAACAGCGTGATCTTAATATCAGATATCGGTATCGGCCCAAAAAATTTCCCATCGGTGCATCACTAAGTGAATCGTGTTTGTTTACCTATTAACAAAAATGAACTGATGAAGGCGCATCACAAATTTTTATTTCACCACCTTCTAATTAAAAAAACATTTAGAAAATAAAGCTTTAAAATGTAACAAACTGACAAGACACTATGTCATATGGTTGTTAAAAAAGTGTATGATTATCGGACTGGTTTAACCACCCATCAAGGTATCATATGGTTGTTCTTAAAGCGTATGATGATCTGATGGGTAAACTGACCCATCAAGGTGTCATACTGCTTAAAGAATGTATGATGATCTGTCAGCATATGGGTGCTGTCAGATAGGAATACGCTGTAATACGCTAACGCCAATCTGACAATGCATGGTGATTTGACAGAACATCACGAAATGCTGATGTCTAAGCAAAGTCCCGAAAGACAATTTTGTACGAGACAACAACTGACAGGATAGAGCTATCGTATTTTCCCCGTCACCTTCCCTGCTCCCAGAAATGTCCCGGGAACTCCTCTAGTGGAAACGTGGCTACTGTGATCAATATGACCGACTTTAAATCAAGACCTAAGGGAACGGTTAACTCTCTAATAACAGTTAAAGAAAAAGAGGATATGGTGTGAATTGTCCCTGATTAAAATGACAGCAGGAGCTCACCGGTTGTCTGGTGTGAGATCGCAGCAGGCCACGGCCAGAGGAAAGAACCCCGGAGGACAGTCTTCTGGGAGAAACTTCTCCACAAACTTTCCAACACTTAGACCAAAGTCCAGAGTTCTGGGGAGGCATTCGGGATCAGCGTAAACCTTCCCAATGATCTGATTCATGAAATAATAATTAATCAGAGATGAACTAAGGAAAGCAGTAGTAAGAATACATCAAGTACTTTACAAAAACACCCTAGATCTGTGAGGCAACAGGGTTTTGCTGACCAGATCTGACCCGTTTTCCAGACACAAAAACAGCTAAGAACCAAAGAAAAGGTCTCACCTCACAGAGGACGATCCCAAAGGAAAAAATGTCCACTTTTTCATCATAACTTTTGCCTGAAATGACAAAAATCGTAAAGCTTGTGCCCATTCTGAAACGTTTACTTCCCCGTAAATAAAAACACTTTTCTCTTCACCATTCAGCATCTCAGGAGCCATCCAGTAAGGGTTTCCCACAACCGTGTACCGCTTCTTTCGGTCAATCCGTCTGAAAACTCTCTTCTTGGTGGACGGTTTTTCAGGGCGAGGCTTCACTTTCTCGTCTACGATGAGCCGAGAGAGTCCAAAGTCAGCAACAACAACGGTGTTGTCCTGGTGAAAGAGGACAGAAGATTAAACATCAGTCTTTTAACTTTCCATTTTTGGTTCTTTTTAAAACACAGATAAGGTTCTTCTTTACCCTGCTGACGTTTCGTTTGTGGCTGCAAACATCTTCAGAGCTGACGCTGATGGTGGCGTCACTTCCTACTCCGTTTATCCGTGGGCAGCAGAGGGCGACAACGACGCCACCATCAGCGCCAGCTCTGAAGATGTTTGCAGCCACAAACGAAACGTCAGCAAGGTAAAGAAAAACCTTATCTGTGTTTAAAAAAGAACCAAAAATGGAATTTGAAGACAAACACAGCAAGAATGTACAAAAGAAGTCCTTTAAAATGTTTATTTTAAAATGTTGAGCTTGTTTATAGTTTCCACCTTTTTACTTTTATTAGTTCCTGTAATAGAAAACACTACCCACCAGTTTAACCAGGCAGTTGTGAGAGTTTAGGTCCCTGTGGATGATGTTCATTGAATGAAGGTAGGCCTAGAGAGAAAAAAGAAGACAGATTTTGTAAAAGTGACACACTTCCATTAAATAAGACTAATAACATCAATAAATACAGATATAAATTCTGTTTGTTAGAAATGGTTCATCAGACATTTCCACAAATGTGACAAACGTTTTGTTTACAGCAAAGACAAGAAGCTAACTCACCATGCCAGAGGCAATGCTCTTAGCAAAGCTCACCCTTTGTTCCCATGGAAACTCATCCTGTAGGTCAAGAAAGAAAACAACATCAACAAAAGCTCTTTGGATGTCATAAAATCATTATCTTAATTTGGGAATAGACGCTAACACAGCTAGCTTATTTCTTCTAGTAAAAATGTTTAAAATAATGGCGTTACTAAACAAAAAAGTTTCTTCAGTAACGAGTAATCTAATTACAGTTTTCTTTTATCAAAAGGTCCTTTCTGTCACTGATAAGAAAAACGTGCGTTACTAATTCAGCAGTGTTGAAGCGGTCATCAGCTGATCGGGAGCTAAAGAGGCGGATGTTTTCATCCAAGCGCATCACGACCCGAACGAGGAAGACGAGATGAATAGTCTACAGCTGCACACCCGCTGCAGCAGGCGAGAGTCTGCAGGCGTGCCATTCTTGACGTGACAGCGGGACGCCCTGAAGGTTCGCCCACCTGTTCATCGCTCAGATGTCACGATCTCCTAGATCATCCAGCTGTAACCTGTTTCTGATCATGTCTTTAGTCCCGCTGTAACACTGATGCATCAGTCTCAGACGTCATGGAGCTCAGGTGTTATTAGAACTACCTGTGTGTGTTTACCACCCAGCTTCAGCTCTTCTGTGTTTGGGTCTGACCCAAGTTAGTAAATGTAAGTCCTCCATCAGGCTTGTGCCTCTTCTAGTGTCATTTCAAAGGATTTTTATTTATTTATTTAACCATTACTACATTACTAGCAACAGAAATGCTACTAATAACACACAATTATGTGAAGCTGGAATAATTAGAATCCTGTGCAAAATTACACTTATTTCTGTAATTTAACCAGACTGAGAGACCATTTAAAGGCTCTGGAACCTTTACAGGTGTTTCTATTTGCAATAATACATTTTAGTAATTGGGGTCTTGTTAAATATCACACAGTGACGTTTTAATAGTCTAGATTAGTGTAATGTTCCTGTTTGTAATTCCTCCTATTAAGTGCCCCATTATTTCAATTATTCAGTAAAAAAAAATTGTACATACATTTTATTATGTTCCAGTCATTAGTCATTTATATTTCAGTATTGTAGTCATTTATAGTTAATTAGGTAGGTTTAATTAAGATGGGATTTTTCTTGCATTCTTTAATGAAAAAAGTAACAAAATAGTTATTTTTCTTGGTAATTAGATACTTTTATAATCTTGTAACTCGGTAAGTAACCAAGTTACTTTTTTGACAACGTAATCAGTAACTATACCTAATCACTTTTTAAAAGTAACGTTCCCAACACTGCCTGCGACACATTTTTATCCAGTTCGACCCTCAGCCTGTTAACAGGTCTGACTTGGTATCACAGCAGAGTCTTCTCCAGGTCAAACAGGGAGGGTGGAGCAGGGTTTGTACTCCAAAACAGCTCACCGTGTCTCTGATGAAATCCTTCAGAGTGCCTCCCTCGATGTACTCGGTAATCAGATTGAGCTTCTTGTCCTTGTACAGAACACCGATAAACCTCAGGACGTGGGGGTGATCCAGGCTCCTCATTACTTTGACCTGACATTTGGACAGAAAACAACAAGTTCCTCATTATGATAAGAGAGTTTTCACTAATGTTTTTCCACAAGGCCAATGAGAAAACCTCAAAATAACAACGCAGAGCGATTTCAGCGTTTGCGTTGGTGAGAAAAACCACCAACCTCCTGTAGGAACGTTTTCTGTGTCTCTTCATCACAACGGATCAGCTCCTTCATCACCATCACCTCCCCGGTGGCTTTATGGGTCATCTGTGACAAGCAAACGTGGTTTTTAAAGCGGGTAAGGAACACTGAAAGGTGGATAAGGTGCCTGGTGATAAACTCATGGCTGACCTTGATGGCCTGTCCAAAGAAGCCTTTTCCCAGGACCTCTCCATGTATGAGGTCACATGGACGGAAAATACGATGAGAGCAGCTACTGGAGGACCTCAGAGACTCGGAGCGTCCGATGTCTTTTGTAATTAAAGGGGACTCTTTGGGGGAATATGGCCCAGGAGATTTACATATACTGTTACTGCGCCTAAAAGTGATGAAAAAAATAATAGTTTAAAGTTTTATCTTCGCATCTGCTGTTCTGTGTGTTCGTTTCTGGACGCTCCAACACACCTCAAAGACCTCCTCTTCAGCGAGCCGTCGTCAACCAAATTTGTTTTCTCCAGAACCGAGTTAGGCGGGGAGGACAGACGCATTCGGGACGTGGCTGGGCCTCCTAACTGGTTTCTGGGGGATCCCAGTCTGAGGCGGTCCAAGCGCTGTCTGACTGGGTCGTACTCTATGAGTAGCTGCAGCGTGTGGCTGGTTCGGTGAATCAGATCATCCACCTGCAAAAAAAAGGATCCAAGGTTACTCATTAATATTCCAACATCTAGGGATGTCCCGATCCGATTACATGCTCGGAAATCGGCCCCGATCACGTGGTTTCAGACCCGATCGGGACTCGGACTTTACTTCCCGATCCAGACTCGGATCCTGGGTTGAAATTACAGGAGAGCAACTTGGTTCTCCTTAAAGGTTGTCAGGCTCCCCTGATGCCCTTAACTTACACACCCAGAAGGAGCACAAAAAAGATCAATTTTCTACCGATATTATATTATTTATATGGACTCAGCATAGCGGGGATTCTTTTGAGCAGGGATGCAGAGCGGCAGGCAGACCGCTGATTATTTATGAACTCCAGCTGCGTTCCCACACACACACACACACACACACACGGCCACAGTAACATTTTCTAAGTTTTTAAGTGGCGTCACCAAAAATATACAATTAACACACAGTCACTCGTGTCCGTTCATTTTCTCTCTGGTAAGTTCTGTCTGTATTTGAGCATGACGCGTGGACGCGCTCGCGTTGCCCTCGCTGCAGCGCTCGTCACTGGAGCAGCCGGGCAGAGCAGCGCACACTCCGCTTTTTTTGCGGTCAATAGATCAATTTGATGTGCTAGTTAAAAAGTTACTTGTGAGGTGAAAAAGAAGGGAGCAGACAGGAGTTTTTCTGGAGGACTGGGAGATGCAGGAAGATCAGAGACAGACAGGACAGGAAGACAGGAAAATAAAAACCAAGAAAACAAAACAAAGTTCTTAAGAAAATAAAATGTAGGTAGATTTATCCCATTACACGTTTGTACCTGTATAAAGCAATAATTTATCAGCATGTAGTATTTATATAGTTGATACAATTCAGATCATCTTCAAAACTCCGACCATGCCCAGTGACGTATCTAAGCATTTTGGGGGCCGAGGCAAAGTAGACCCCTGCCAGGTATTTTAAGTTGAAGTGCGATCTGCTTTTATGTTAGACTTTTTATATTTGCAATAAAGTTCAAAAGTGAAGAATTTATGTTATTTATTACTTGATTGTTCAAGCTACCTCACAGAAGTGATATGTTGTTAAAAATTTAAATAAAAAGGTAAATAAATTAAAAATAAGGAACATTCTGGAACAGTTTATTCCTTTTCTTTACTTTTTTTTAATGTATCGGATCGGGACTTGGTATAGGCAGATTCTCAAAATCAAATGACTCGGACTCGAGGGCAAAAAAAAAAAACCTGATCGGGACATCCCTACCAACAACCCAGCTTGCATTTCTTACTATATTTAGTGATTTTATGCAACACGAGGGCAACACTAAATAAGTTAGACACGTGCATAGAGCTGAAGACTTTGATGAAATTTTCATTTAATCAGGTTGGATAAAAAAAAAGTACAATAAAAAAAGCCACTCATTTGTTTTCTGTCAGTGTTTGATTTTAGGAATTATCATAACTGCAAACTCAGAGGGTGTGAAAAAGGTGACACCACACCTACAAAACTAGTAAAATGCACTCGAGAAATAAAAATAAATGAAAAAACTAAAGTTTTTGATTCACACATCGCTAAGCGAGTATCAGAGGTGATACTCACCTCTTCCTCCAACAACGTCCCAACGGGGCAGCCATTAATCTCCAAGATCCTGTCCCCAACATGGATTGCGTTTCGCACCTCGGGACTGATCAGCATCCCTCTGACCCTGAAGACAAACCCAAAAAAATGTGAGCAAATGACATTAAAACCTACAGCTTTAATGATGATCTGACTAGAGCAAAAACAAATACTTTAGTGGAACACGCACACGCACACGCACACACACACACACACACACACACACACACACACACACACACACACACACACACACACCAGCTGATTACCACACCTATAATCACTCTCACACACTGCATTACTCATGTTGCGATGACGACACACAGACAGGTACACACACCAGCCATACTTACTCTTTGACTTGAACGCTTGGCGAGCCGTTTACGTCCCTGATCACAGACACTGAGAAGCCCCGTTTACCGTTGGCTGCAGACGGCATAGAGATGAGGGTCACCGTGTGAGGCAGCGAGTCCAAGATGGAGTCATGAGAGCGTTTCTCCAACATGGGTGTAAGGACCACCTGCTTGTAGCACTTCCCACTGAAACAACACGAGAGCATGCATGATTAGTGCTGCTCAAACATCAAAATATAGCTTGATTAAACTCACTAATAATACCAGATAAACACATGTGAGCAGAATAAAGGTTGTTCTGTCATGCCTCAAACTTAAACATGTTAGCATTTAGGTAAAGTCAGTTTTACACGTGGTTCACAGACCACACAAAAACAAGTTATTTCCTCTGTTTAAATGATTATGAACCATTTCTGCACCTTAAATGGAAACAGGAATGAGCTGCAATCAGAAGCTGAAATGATCGAGATATTTTAATGGACTCCTGCAAAACAAGTTTAAAGAAGTTCTCTACTCACCAGTAGAGTTTTGACCTCTCCACCAAGGCGTAGGTGTCCCTGTCCTCTATCACCACCTTGCAGCTCAAACACACAAAGCACTCAGGGTGGTACTTGTGTTCCCCGGCCACCTGAAATCCAAACCAGATCTGATAATCTTCCATTCAGCACCGAGGTCATCTAAGACTGAGCTGCAGCAGCCGTGCTCTAGTAGGTATGAGGTGTAGTTGGCGTTCCGCCCCCCTTCGCCGTGAGCAGCGGGAACACCTGCTTCTGCTCTCAGCCCGTCTGGAATCTGCTCTGACGTCAGCCTCAGCAGGTCTGAGTCTCACTTTCAAGTTTCATCTCAGTCGTCCAACACACGACTCACTGATTTCCCCTTCCGTGATTTAATTCACACTCCCACAACATCTGCCTTTCCTCGCCCCGCTCCCATGCAAGATGAGATAATGTGAAGTGCCAGGTGACTTAATCAGACACACGTTCAGCCGAAAGGCCGACTTCAGGTTCATTTATGCAACAAAAACAAGGAATGAGTTAACAGCTGTTTGTGAACTGGAAGTAAAATCTTTTTATCTCATAAGAGTTTCATAATGATAGTTGCTGACAGGTTTTCATCTGAGCAGCTCTTCTGTTTTTGTGCTGAAAAAGGCACATTTTTAAGGAAATACAGTTAAGTTTTGTGTAAACGATGCTAATTGAAAAAAAGCTCAGTGTAGCTAAGCTAAGCTAAGTGCTGGGAAAGGTTTCTCTGCTGCTGGGTGATTTCTGACAGCTCAGTGATTGTGACAGCTCCGTCTGTCTATAACTCCTAGCCTCAAAGGAAAAAAACAAAACCCCACCTTGGTTACAACCTGCCTTAGGCCTAAAGACTAAGGCAGGGATGTAAAAAAAACAAAGTAGACACAGGGCTTAGTTTGGATTTAGAAAAGGAGCATTGCACGACTTAAAACAACAACGAAAAGAAATCCTGTCTCATAAACAGCGTCCAAGTGTATCAACAAGCTAACAGATAATGACCACCGACAGCAACGCTTCTGTCAGAACTTGAATGCCTCCTCTGCTGCTGGACCACAATGGATTTCGTTCTGGCTCAGTGAAGCTGTGGTGCCAGTTCAGCCATGCCAAAAACGCTTCTGATGAAGCCAGACGCCAGTGTAAAATACAAGAATCCATCATGTTTGTTGCTTGGTGGCAAAAAGGAAACCCTCAGCCTGACTGAAAGTCACACAAGCAGCTAAATATCACATCTTTACTTTTAACCGTTCCTCTACTTTCAGAAGGATTTACTCAAACACACAATTATGTTCCCTTTCCTGCGTCAGGTCCTGACTTAACAGGAGACATTTGATCTCTGAGAACCCATCGATGCGGATCGTAATGCCGCTTTGGGGAATATGGACGGAGCTTTCTCACCACAGACGAGTACACATGATCCAAAACCAGCACGTGTTCTAGAGCATTCCCACTGGGTCCTGGATGAGGGGGAAGAGGTCTGTGTACAGAGAGGGAACAGGCTGAGGCCTCGAGGGGGGAAAACTGATTCACAAGTCTGCAGCTCCTTCTGGTCAGGATGGAGCGTATCGCTCGTTCTGTAGGAGCCACAAAAACAACCCTCCACCTCCCAGCGTTCTCCATCATGATGATGAAACTGAAGAACAAGGTGTACGGACATTTTCTGTAGGTGTCATTTAAGTCCACGAGGAAAGGGTTGGTATGAGGAGATAGTAGAACAAATAAATAAAAAGGGTGCCACATAAAAATAATCCTATAAAAATTAACCCAGTTACATTAAAAAGTAACTAATTACCAGCAAAAGTAACTATTGCATTACTTTTAAAATACAAATATGCAAGAAAATTTGGATCCCCTCTTACTAGAACTTACGTTTACTCCAAATTACTACAGTACTTAACTATAAATGACTAAATAGATGTCGAACTGCTTGTTATGAAACTGAATAAGCGATATAAATGAGAAGGAACTACAAACAGGAAACGTGACACTAATCTAAACTATTTAAATGTCACTGATATGAAACAAGACCCTGATTTAATCAAATGTAGGATTGCAAATAAAACAATTTCTATATTTTAACTTTGAAGTTAGTTTTTTGTCTAATCTATGTATAATGGGGTGTTTTTATTAAAATTTCTACTTCTAATCTATAACAGCACGTCTCATCTATAGTTAAAAACACTTATAAAATGACACTAACAAGCACAAATCTGATCAAGGACCTAAATGTGCAACCTTGTCAGACCCAAATGCGAACGTTCTGGTGATAGGTGGTAAAAACACACACTTAGCTGAAGAAACACCTGAGCGCCCGTGGTGAACTCCGCTAGTATCGGTGTTACAGCGGGTCTAAGGAAATGGTCAGGAAGGCTGACTGGTTCCAGTTGGATGACGATGTAGGAAGATCGGTGATAGTGACGAGGAATGAACGAACAGACGTCTGACGGGATCTCCCTTACATGGGAAGTGTGGCGGTCACGTCTTACTCATTGCTCTCTGGCCATGATGTGCATGAATGTAAACAACCGGCTCTTTAGCATCTGGCTAAGACAACGTCAGCTTCAACACACCTGAGTTAAAGTAACGCACCTGGGCAGCTGCATCAGTACTGGAAACGGCGTTGCAATGATGGAGAAAGTCATTATTGGATTACACGTTACTAAAAAAACTCACTCCGTTAGTAACACCTTTATTTTTAATGCTGCATCACTGCTTATCGTCAGCTACAGAACTCATTGTGTCATAAATAGCTAGTGTGTTCATAGCCCTAACCATAATCTATATTTCAGCAATAGCAAAGAAATGAGGGATCAACCCACAAAAAAATCAGCAAACAACTAAAGTAGAGCTGAAACAACTAATCGATTTAATCGATTATAATCGATTATTAAAATGGTTAACAACTTTTTTAGTCATCGATTAGTTGTTTAATGATCACATTTTACCGCATAAAGTCTATTTTTTACCACAATCTGACATCGGTTACAATCTGTTAAATTTGCCCCCAGTGTGTGGCAGTAATGAGCCACTGATCTACCAGTGGAGCCGTAGAAGAAGAAACAAGCCAATAAGTGCCCTCGGTTTTCACGATGTAACACGTTACTGACGCGCATCTTGCTGTGAGAGACGGCAGAACAAGAAGAAATACGGAAGAAAAATAGAAGCGACAAAACTGAAGAGAAACCACGGACAAAAACCTCACGAGTATGGGAGCACTTCACTCTAGATGCCATGAAAAGACGGGTGACCTGCAAAATATGCAAAAACCATCTAGCATGGCACGGAAGCACGACGTCCCTAAGTGAACATTTGAGACGAAAACATGTGGGGGCTGATGCAGCAGAGGAAAGTCCGGTAAATCCGGTAAGTAACAGAAAATAAACAAGCTAACGCAGATCAAATTTGGGAGCCGAGTTCGTTATAGTGGATGTTAAACATGTTTCTTTTGCCGCGTCAGTCTACAGTGTTCTACTTCTGATTGACTAGATGCAATCGTGAATCTCCTCCGTGTTGTGTATCATGCGCTTGCCAAATTTAGCACGTCTGTTTATAAGAATGTTCTCATTAAGAGAAAAACGGCGCAAACCCATAACTATGTTCCTCAATCAAAAAAGGACAACTCCGCAGAGAAAAATATACAGACGAGCTGTGTCCAGGTGAATATAACGCGGCATAGTTGTACGCTTTCAATTTTAAAATACAGGAGAAATTCAGAAAGTCATTTTTTTACTATTAAAATGCTGTTTTACTGTCTAATGCTGTAAAACGCCTCACAACACATTTTTGTCAAAAATAAATGATCACTGTATATTGTTAATTAATTCAAATAATGTAATATTGATTTAGTGTTGTAGTGTGTGTGCTGCTTTATTTTATATGTGTACTTATTTCAGTCTATTTGTTTCTTATGCAGAAAAAAACAAGCAACGATGGACAACTACATGGGGAACAAGACACTCACCCCCCAGCAATGCATACCACTTACAAACTCTATTCTAGATTCTACATTATTTTTTATGGAATTTACCTCTTATATTTTGATGCCAAAAAATTATTCTGGACTGATATTTTGCACTGTTTAGCTCATTTTACACCGCTGACTGTGTTCATGTGCAATAAAATAGATTGCAGTCAACTGCACAATTCTCTTATGTTTTTCTTTTTCTTAACTGAAATGTATTCATCACTTGTATAGGTTAAATAGCTAAACAATAACAAACAGATTAATCGAAAAAATAATCGACAGATTAATCGATTATGAAAATAATCGTTAGTTGCAGCCCTAAAGTAATATGTCTAGTTTAATGAAAATCTCTCATAGGAAATGACTGTGTTTCTCCTTGTCCCGTCATTCACCACATCCATCCAGCCAGAAATAAAAAGCCAACAAACATAATAAAAATACAGATTTTCAGAGTTTTGAAGATGCACAGACTGCCAACGGCTTTTGGACCTGCAGCCTGAGATTGTTAAGGATGTGCAGACAGCAGCAGACCTACCATAGCAGGTCCAGTCATGAGCAGAGAACATCCATGACACAGCTCTCCAAACTTCTCCCAGTAGTGTTTCCGACAGTACAGCCGGCCGTCCTGCTCATAGTACCAGTTGGTCAGGTGATCGGAGCAGACGGAGCATCTGAAACGACACAGAGTCACAGTCAGACGTTGAAGGATCCTTCGTGGATGATAGGAGCATAATCTGTTTTTGGCACTTGTCTTATTTTATGATGAATGTTCACTTAACGCATTTATCTTGATCGTGAAAAAGGAGGATTGCACACAGACTAATTTATGTCAACAGCTTGAGCTTTTCTTTGTTTAACAGGGTGGAGGTCACAGTTAACACTCCGTCCCTGAGATGTGCAGCGACTTGCACGAGTGCTGTTGTTTTTGCAGCATTGCAAAGGGGCTTGTTCCAGTCTCTGCAGGTGATGAATTTGCCAAAGCTACTCGACTTTACACACGTCCAAATTTTCTAGAAAAAGAAACGAGACCACCGCTTTGGAAGAAAACAACCCCTAATCACGCTAAAGTCATCTGTCCTCGAGGACAAAGTCCACAGAGGAGCTGGTTGTTTATTCTGCTTTTTTTTCTTTTGTTTTCTGGTAGTTTTACTTATCGCTATTCTTGTTCCTATCTTCATCATTTTAGACACAAACAAGTAATCCTGTTGACCCTGAGGTCAAGGTTCTGACAACCATGGAAAAACGTTTCATCAGAGCTCTAAAACTCCAGCTTTCCCCATGACTGCAGCTCCTGAGCCACCTCACCTGCAACTTAATCCAACACCTGAGGAGATACTTGGCAAAGCAAAGGGATGTTTATTGTTGCAGCACAGTGACAAAATGTTCAGAATGAAGAACACTAAAGTTGGCAGCTGACTAGGGAACTCTCGCCCGCTTCCAGGTCATCCAAATCCACCTCGCCAGAGACTGTAGGTGAATGAAATGTCTGCTGTCGCTTCTTTTTAATGCCGCTGTGATTTAATCCTTGCACCCATCTCATCTGAATCCCCACTAGTTGATGGGACAGACAGATATTCTTCACTTAGAACAAATAGAAACTGGACAACTTGACAGCTTATTCTGATTAATTAGCGATTTTCTGGAGAGCATTAAAAGTTTAATACCGACAACGAGGACATCAGATTTCTGTTTCATGCAACAACTTATGCTGCTTGAAAGGTTGTTTGTCTGCATTTTTACTGTTTGAGTACAGGGAGTACTGTAGTCGCACTGCTCTCCATACTGTAGGTATAGCTGATCCAGGATTATTGACTTTGGCACAGACTCTGGAAAGTTCAGAGTTTTCTGGCATTACTTAAGAAGGAGCTGTCCTGCAGACTGAAGACCACATGTCTGTCTTTACTGCCGAGAGAAAAGTGGAAAAAGAAAGAATCACTGGCTTCCAGGCAGGAACATCCCATTTAAAACATCAAGGGAAATTCAGGCATGTTGATGAATTCATGACAAAAATGTGAATAAAGATAAAAGTGTCTAAACAAGATCGTAAACAAAGACATGATGACTCCAGATCGACACGTCCCGCTGACTGCAGGAGTAATGGTGGCTGATACATAAATATCTAATATCCCTCTATACAAAACCACTGAACTGGTTGTGGATATCGTTTTGAACTTTTACTATTTACCAATAAAATATGTTAGTGAATTATGATGTTTTATTGTTCACTCTGGGCTATGGTATTTTTGGGGGGGGGGGGGGGGGTCATGATAGAAGAAACAATCCTCAGTAAAACCCAGATTAACTCTTACAAAATCATCTTTTCAGATGCACAACTTTAAAATATGCATACAGACAGTTGGGGGATTTAATAAAAAGTCATAATTTACTATGATAATCACAAAGCTTCAGTTTTTATTTGTAGTTGTAAACGTCTACACTTCTTGTTTTTATGTTGCTGCCATGATGGTCTGTACAGTTTAACAACAATAATTGATCACGGATTCATGTTTTTTTTTCTTCCTTTTTGCTAAAAGAATTCGTGAACAACCCTCACTGTTAGCAGTAAAGCACGTCAGAGGGAGTATCATGGTTTCGCATCTTATGGCAAGCTTCACTGAGAAATCTGTGAAACAATCGTTCACTCTGAGTTTCACTTGCAGGCTGGATGTGAAAATAGTCTTCTACCCCTAGACGTGGAAATGCGTGAGTCAGAAAAAGCCAGTCAGATCTACATCTCGGTGACAATTAGCCTTCATGGACTCACCCATTTTGGCTCACGATCGGGGAAGGCTGTTGTTGGTTTAGCGTCCAGGAGGGAGCAGAACATGTCTTGGCTACCTAACCGTTAGCATTAGCAACTCTACCACATGGCACAACTCCTTCAGGCTTGTGTTATTTGTGGAGATAAAACATAAACATTGCAGAACAAACGGAGGCAGTGGAAGAGTAATACTGCTGTCGGCCAATCAGAGGCAAGATGTTTGCACCCCCGCTGCCTGCTGGTGGTGGTCAGAGGGACCGGTGGCACCAGTGCTCGGCAGCCTCACCTCTGTCAGTGCGCCCTAGGGCAGCTGTGGCTACACCGTAACTCATCACAACAGCGTGTGAATGTGTGTGTGAATGGGTGAGTGACTGATTGTGTTGTAAAACACACTTGGGGAGGGGGGGTGGGGGGTCCAGGACTCTAAAAGACACTATATCAAATAAGCCATTTACCATTTTAAATAATTTTTAAATCAGTCAGTGAAACTTCCAATCCCTCCTCTGTGGTTTCAACACTCGACTTTCAGCTAACTCTTGGAAACCATCAGCAGACTTTATCTGACCCGTGTGGTCGATTTTCTGATTAACACGAATGAGAAAAAGGATTTTGTCATCAATGATCAAACCACATCCCTGAATAATCAACAGATGTTATTGTTATTCAGTCAGACTGACAACACTTCTATTTAGTGCATCTGTTCCGACTTTTTGTCTCATGACCGGGAAAGTTTTTCCACTCAGCTCCTATTGCTGGTTTTTGTTTAAACCACACAAATGCTTTAGATCCAAATCTGTTTGAGAAGGCGTCTCCACATTGCGGCTCTGGAGCTACAAGCGGTCCTTTGGACCTTCAGCGATGGCCTTAATCTCTTTGGGAAAAATAATTATAAAATAAATAAAAACTCATGTTCTTGAATATAGATATATTTTTAAAAAAGCATGTTTAGGCTTTTCAGTTTATTTCATGGAATAATTGTGTTGAATTGCATTGAACCGGACACTAAAAATACTAGGAACACTTGTGGATCCATTTATGTCTATTTTTACATTATTTCCCACAAATAACATACCATTGAGAATCAATTCACAGAGTATGCTCTTTCTGCAAAAACTTGATTTTTCCCCCTTAAACTTTTAAACCTTATAATACAAATACATTTTTTTTTCTTTTCAAAAACTACAATAAATAAAGAACTCTGCATTTTTTCCCCCGAATATCTCACATGATTATTAGACTTCTGAGGTGGGGAAGCACTTTTCAGAGACCCCAATCCCCTTCCTTAGTTATTTCTCCAAAATTAAAAATAGTATTTTTTTCAAACGGTCCTGTAATTGTTGCAGCTGTAAACCAGGTTTTTGGTATAAACTGCTCATTGGATGGTAAAGGTTGCAGACCCGTGTGTTAGATCTTGGTTAAAAAAAAGACAGATTGAAGTTTAAAGTACGCTTGTCATTTGGGGCCAAATTTCACCATTTTTTATAAATCAGCATCGGCCGATATACCTCCTTAGTAGAGCTGATTTAAAGACAGGCACATTCCTGGGCAGCCCAGTGTTGCTGCTGAATTGAACTTAAACCTATATTCACATTCCTGAATAACATCTGCATAACTAGTGCTCTAAAATTATTTAACAAAAATTTTCTTTTTAAATCACAATTTTGAATATTTAATACTTGGTCAGTTTACTGATTTGTTTGATTAACTTTAGTTAGATGTCTGATGTCTTAATCAATTTCCCTCTGGGATTAATAAAGTATTTTTGAAATGAATTCAACACTGACCAGTGCATCAAATCAAGATTTAACAGTTGGTTAAATTCTGATTGTTTCATAAATGTTGTTTCAACTGATGTTTTAGTGACACTTTAGCATCAAAGTAAGGTGGAAACGCCTAGATATCAGCCATGAAAATCTGTCTCGGCTGATCGTAAGCTCTTCATATCGGCAATAGAAAAACTGATATCGGTCAACCTCTATTTGTGATCTCTTTTATTTTCAAATACTGTTATCATCATAAAAGTAAAAAGATAAGAGCTACAATAAAACAAAGGGTGCATATGGTTTGTCACCTTTTACACCAGAGTTTTGCCAGAATTGACTCCAAAACTGAATTAGTTGTAGATGCACACATAAACGATGGCTGTCTGGGAGTTTCATTCAAATCTTCCGAGCGGTTTATGGATACTCTGCAGACACAAGATGGATGTGGGTAAGTTCTGTCTGAACACACGAAGAGGCAGCCCACTCGGGATTATTTTAAAGCTCTTATGAATTAAAAGCCAATAAACACCATAATTAGTGTCTTTGTGCCCCTGTAATATCCAGATACGGTGATGTAAGTGCACTTTATAAAACACCTGACTTCCTCCTATACAAGCTCCTGAATGGAGGGAGGAAGTCAGGTGTTTGAGGCCAACAATGCTATCATCATGGCTGCAAAAACACCATAAAAACAAACATTACTCATTTCCTAAAATCCACATTCCTGCTGGTGTGGATTCCTTTGTTGACGTTTAAAGAGAGAAATGTAAACAAAAGACCTTAAAGGTCTGCACAGGGTGGGTTTTAGTTTTGATATTTTATTAAAGAGTGAAGGTTGTTTCCTCATTTAGACTCAAAATAAAGTCCAAATGGATTAATATAGCCTTAGATTAAAAACTATTAGTCACTTTTAGTTGTAACTAGTCAAATTAAAACACTTCAAGTAGATTCAGACTTATACTGCAGACTAAATACATGAAGATATCTTAGGAGTGGTAAATGACTCCACCCGCTATTGTGGCAAAGTATGATAAAAATCTAGAGCCCTTTAAAAGGGTTGGACAAGAAACAAGCAGCTTTTTTTTGTAAACAGTAAAAAGAAAAGGGGGTTCGAGTGTCTGAATCGGCGTCTAGGAATGCAGAACTC